GCAGGTCATTTATAAGCATCACCAAATCTATCCACTGACAATGAAGAGTAGTAGTATCAGTATACTGTATATTTAAGTAGTCAATAACACAAGAAGCACAGTGTCTTGTGCATTTGAAAGAACATATAAACTGGTACCACACCAACTTTTGAAATATTGCAAAAGGTGAAAAAAATAGCTGCTGATTTTATTCAACCTTTCTCCATGTACACTCTCCATGTACACAATTCAGAAACTGGAAAAATAAGATATGCATTTGTGAACTATTGTCAATAATAGGGAACGACCATTACATGTCCTGGTTGGGGGCGTGGGACTTTGTAAGCAGTCTTGATAATTATTCAGATTAAGCTGCAAAACAAAATATTTTTTTGATCACAACTGTGTGCCTAAATGTTTAGAAAAGGAACATCTTTTTGTGGTAGAGAATCTTTTTTCTAACCAGTATGATGCGTCATTTTTGGGGTCAATTAATTTTTTGTAAAAAATCCCAGTCCCCAAGATAATGGCCGGTCCCTAATCTAAAGGTAAGGTGGACAGTGTAGACCAAGGCATGACTAAGGAGTTCCCAACCAGTGTTACTAGTCAGTGTTGTAGTTGGCAGTATCATCCAACATCAGCAGTTATCCCCCCTTGCCCCCCTGTGTGTGTGTTGTCGCTAGCGTGGCTCCATACCTCTCCCGCAGTGTCAGTCCCAGCTTCAGTTTCTCCTCCGTGACTGCATCGTCTTCGCTGGCTACAAGCATGCTACCCTGTGTCTTGTGTGCATCCAGTTACTTGTTAGTATCTGCACCATTGCTTAGCAACAAGTTTGTATCAACCATCTACATGTGGAGTAACTGACATATACAACACGTAATTAAAGGGCCACTGATCCAGAGCAATTTCCGTGGACTGGTTGTTGCTTTTGTTATTGTTTTTCTCCTGTGAGTACCCGGATGATATCCCAGAATTCTTGACTGGTTCGTGACCTTTGCTGCGCTACCCGCTTGCGCAATTGATTGTATAATTATAGATTGATCAAGAAAGAGGAATTTTTTTTACTCGATAATATTTCCATCTTCAGAAATTTGATAACAACTGAAAACATTTTTGCCAGTGGTGAATCCAAATGTTAGGACTGAAAAATAACGATGTCAATGTATGTCTTTACATTTTGTCTTATAATCCTAATTAGTTTATTATCATATTTGTATGCATTTTGAAACCTAATAAAATGCATACGATCTACTTATACTTATTGTGAATTTATAACATGACTTTAATATCTAGGCATTTTATAGATTGCCAACGTCGATTATGTATTATTTCACACACGCCTCATTACACTTCACGGCGGAAAAAAATGATTCTGTATAATGCTACCACAAATGAATAAAAACAAAATGCAAATATTAAAATTAAAACAGACTAAAGTTACAGCAACAATGTCAGGCTATCCTACCTTGTTCGAGGAATGTCTCCATCAATATCCACATAAAGGTGCGACATGCCATTCACCTTCAACTGACAAAGAATCCTGCTCCATGTCATGTGTCTTGTAACAATCTAATATTCGAAAATGTGATATATCGTTTCAGGCTTTTCACATTGGTGTAGAGTCTATTCAGTATAGATTAGCAAATTTTCATACATAAACACTATCTTTTGACAAATCCACTGTGCAAAATAAAAGCAATTAATCAATCAACATGTTATCGGTTAATCCTTTGATCGATGTTTGTTTTTGTAACTCAGCTGATAATCCATCTTGCTGCACTTCCTCGTGTATACTACATAAAATGTAATTGCATTTGCCACATCAGATCTTAATTTATAATGCTGAGTATTTACTCCAGACACGAGAAATGCCAAAGAACCTTTGTCGGGTAACCTGAGTGGTGTTACCACTAATTATACCTGTTATAAATTCATTAACTGACCATCAAGTGAATGATGACAAATAACATGTGTAGATTTACCACCAAACAAGGGTTACAGAAAGGAGTAGTAATCGCTGTATATTGCATGCAATTCTGATTGCCTGAAAAAAACTTATGGGCCGACACTGTTTTGACGATACGAACAGAACTGCATTGTTGCGTAAGAAATACATATACGCATTTGCTGTATATATACCTATTCAAATAAGTAAATTTTCAGATTTTTCTAGCAATGGCAGAGTCGGGTTGTTTAGTTTACAGATTCAAATACATCAAATGTGCGTTTTTAATATCATAGCATAGGTAATAAACATCATATTTTTACATGACATGATTGAATATCGATGTAAAAAAACCACAGACTTTTATAGGACCAAATTGGATCAGTTATTATACCATCCAGGCATTAGAAAATCTGAAAATGTTTACACTGCTGGGATTCTTTATTACAGTCAGACAAGAACTACCAGGAATATTTTCAAATAACGGGCATCCACCCTTCCTAATGTCCAACTGTTTAGGTTGAAGAAATTCTGCCAAGGTGGACAGTAGCCCAGTTCCCGTGCCCGAGTGAGCGGGTACCGACGAGCCTGCAGCTTGGTTTGGTAATTAGCCCATAGGCGAGAAACATTAATCGCTCTGGATCAGTGGCCCTTTAAAGTTGACGATGCCAGTAGGTGTCAGAATGAGAGATATGCATCATGTAGATTGATTTAGAGCTGTTTTGCTAGTGCTAGAGGGAGATTTGTGTAATCGCTTTTTCAAAGATACAATTCTTGATAAAATTCTGTAACCTATGTGATACTCATCTTCAGTATGTGATCGCAGCGCAAAATGAACGTAACTCCCATATTTTAACATAGATGTAGACCTATGATCGCTTGGTGGAACAGGGGCTCATTTCTTGAGGCTGTCTCCAACTATGACTACCAGAATCCAATGTTAAAGTGACGGAGTTATGATCACCTTCGCACAAAGTTGGCTTTGTTGGGGTTTGATTCCCCACATGGGTACAATGTTTGAAGCCCATTCCTGGTGTCCCTTTTGTGATATTGCTGGAATATTGCTACAAGCGGCGTAAAACCCTCGTTTCTCACTTCATGACATACGAATATTAGATTGGAAAACTGATTGTTTAAGTGTATCATGACACTATTTCTAAAGCATTTGAAGGTATGTCTTTAACAAAACTATCACAATTACCAAACACACTAGTATCACACAAGATGCATTTGAAGAAGTTGTATCTGCACTACATAACCTGTAATAGACATCTAGATCTAGAAGATTCAGTCCCTTATAGTTACAGGATTAACACAAGTGTTCCTCCTGGCAACTGATCTAAACAATACCCCATTCTCTGAAGGACGTTTGCCTCTGATTTGAAATGATCTGATTCCTGTGAGATGACGTACAGCAGATTCACTGGCTTCATTCAAGTAAAGACGAACATCTTTCCCTGCTTAGTAGTGGAAGTGGAAGGTCCACCGACAGTATACTAGACCATGTTACTGGGGCATTCGGCATTAGCTGCTACCTGCAGTAGGATACAGACATTCACCTTGCATCAAGACCACCCATCTCACAACCAATACCTGCTTCAATTGTCACCTGTAGATTCTTCCAGGGCACAGGACAAGAATATGCAGATAGCCTTGGAGTTTGGTCATCTGCAGAGAAAGATCAAGCAATGAAATGAATCAATGTTTGAAAGTAATCAGTCATCAGCAGGAGCCTAGTGATGCTTTCCTGGAAACTAACTGAAGACCAATACACCAACTTTATATATATTCTCTGTTGCTAAGTGTGGCTGTGCTACCAATAGCTGTAATATTGCTGATGCGGTGATTCAGTCATTCATTCTTAGGGTAGGCGTGACCCAGTGGTTAAAGCGTTTGCTCGTGACAGTGAAAGTCCATGTTTGACTCCAATGGAGGTAATTATAAATGGTGTGAATCCCAATACTGGTGGTTTCTGTGATGTACAGCTGACCCATGTAGATTCACACAAATGTAGGCAGATGTGTGCCTTATCTTTTAATGATACTGTTCTTCATAAAATACCCAAACACTTGTTATATCTTCAGCATTTTAGATTCAGTCACTCAATGACATCTTTCTTTTTTAAGGCTCACGTTCTGCTTCTGGGAACACAGACTATGATGACAAGCAGTCACTGAGGCTGACCCCTCCAAATCATTCATTTAGTCATTTAATAGTTCTGTCAAGGGCTTGATAATTTTTTGCCACAAATGAACAGTTCTCAACCCATTATGAGCCATGATACTTCCTGACAGGTCTTGTACATACTGTTACATACTGTTACAAGGGCACCTGTTAACATATTCAACACACAAGGAAATGTATTGCTGTTTTCATGAGACCAATCCTGCATTGCTTTACATGTGTTGTATGCTAACATAGAGATGTTTCAGTTTTTGGGATTCGTGATTTTCATGTGATTAGATATCAAGATTTTATTCTGCATGATTACTGAAGCATGTGGCTTTTGAATGTTTGTTTTGCAACATGTGTTTATTTGCCCTGTGATATGCACAGCATCTGAGGATGGAGTCCATGCTTGCCTTGTGCTGTGAAGGCTCATGTTGGTGTATGCATTCATCCTGTACACATCTAACACCAAGTTATCACCACACAAGATCCTGTATGCTTCTGTGTATCAGAGTAGGCATAATGACATCATCTGACAATAAATGACATTATCTGACAATAACTCCAATGACATTGTGACAATACTGTGTCTATGTGCGCACAAGCAAGTAGGTTGAAAAACGCCCTGAAGAATATTTATGTCTGTTTGGGTTTCTTAATAGTTTAGTTTTTCTTCATTCATAGATTCCATATATCCACTTCACTCAGCTTCTAATAAGTAAAGAACTCCATTTTACAGCATAATCCTGGCAATGTTGTAGTTATAATGAGAACATGTTAGGTTGTTTGCAGATGAATGGACAAGATTAACTTGTTGTGAGACATTTTACCATCTTGCTCTTCTCCCCAGACTGCACTTGTGGAAATATGGCCGACATGTTCTTACTGTTTATGTTTGCTGTTTCAGTATGTGTCCAAGCTGACCCCGGCTATTCTTAGCGAGATGGATAAGCTGCTTGGGAATAAGCCTGTGTACAAGCGAGAAACATACAGGTGAACAATACCACTTTTCATTGGTTCTTTACCGCATGTTGCTACCCCCGGCCAGGCCCATCCACCCTAGTGATGCGCAGCAGGTGCCCTCTGGCGGACTGCATGGGGCCAGACACTATTTGGACTTCGTTGATCAGTTTGTAGAACGTCCGTCACATTGTCCATTTCCCTGAGGAAATTTAATCTAATTCTTCTCACATTGTTACAAGAGACTGTATACTGTTTGGAACAACAGATTTTGATGCTAGATGGACGTTGAAGTCAATGAAACTACTTGTGGTATTATTCGGTGTATGAGATAGACAGCAAAAGCTGTAGCTTTGATTCACTATTTCAGAGATGATCTCTGGTTTGTTGTGGCCATGATGAAGCTTGTTCTTGCCTTTATGTTTCTCCTGAAGTAGGTCCAGATTGCCTCCTGTGGCTGCACGCACATGTATTACTGCCATTCTTCACTATCAGGGTGTTCCTATGCAACATATTACTGCCCAAAACTGGTGTGCCATTGTTCAGTAGGTAGATGAGAGTGAGGCTCGGAGAGGAATATACACCTTCTGCAGGTGCACAGGCAGGCTTTACAACTGATTTAGTGTTTCTCTCACCTTTACTCGAACCCCTTCTAACTACACCTCAGTGATACTTGACTGTACTACAAGTAACTCCTACCTGGTAACTGAGAGGTGATGTTAATGGATTAAGTGATAAGATCTTGAGACTCAGTGTCAGGTACATACCAATATCATATTGCTGCCAATATCAACATTGCCGATTGTGGCATTGAACAAGCTCCTCATCTTTCAGGTTGTTATTAGTCATACGGATAGCATACATTTGTGATGGCAGTCAACATTAATTATCCGAGTTCTCAGAGTTTTGGTAGCAGATGTTAATTAGTAAATTTGGCATTATTTTCTGCAATGTTTCTTTTCGTGTTTTGAACTCAGAGAATATTTAAATTTGAAGAATTTTGTGGAAACAATAGTGCATTTTCTTAAAAGTATCACCTCATACATTAATATTTAGAATGGAACCAGAGTCAATGTGAGGGAAATGCTCAATCAGTCGGCTGTCCTTTTCATGACAACATCGCAGATGCTAGCGTCCTGACACACACTCTTGTATGGTCATTAGGAAGCCAGGATGATTCTCATGCAGGCACACCACACTCTCGGGGACACATTTACAGAGACATGAACATAAATGGCATATACCAACATATCTAATATTTTTAACCATCTATTTTGATAATGTTGGCATTTCATTCCAAATGGCAGATGTAGCATCTATTTGCTGTCCTCATATCTAATGGCAAGAACTCTGGTGTTTTGGTAACATTTTGATTTATTAGCAATCAGATTCATGAACTTCTAATCATGAAAGATCACAATATGTGATATACATAAAAATACCATTTTTCAATTTTCACCAAATTAACATGCAGGTCAGAACTATTTCAATCACCTAAAGATAAAACATTATAGAGAATCTCTATTGGATATAAACATAAGTTTCTATTGCTAAAACTTGATAATTATGTATTCCTAATTTGTGAAGGGGATTCCCCTGTCCTTGATCTGATGATGAGCTATTGGTGCATTGTTTGTTGATATGTACATTTATACTTGTAGGGATGCCTTGCATTATCTGCGCTGTAGGCTGTGATACTTACTATTTGATTATATTTACATTTTTATTTTTTATTTTTATGGCCAGAATATATATATACATGAATCCTGTCATTCAGATAGAGGCATCTTGCATTAACATGCCTGCTTAAATGTGCCATAGTTTGCACTTTCAAGAAAAAGAGATTATAGAGTATGACAAGCTAAAATACTTGCCCATACACATGGTTAAATGAAAATCTATGTACAGGTTTACAATTAATGCCCACATACAGGTTTACAATTAATGCCCACATACAGGGTTTACAATTTATGCCCATTCACAGGGTTTACAATTAATGCCCACTCACAAAGTTACAATTGATGGCCACACACAGGGTTTACTCATGTTCAGGGTAAAAATGAACCCCCACTCCCAAGGTTACAGTGAATGCCCACTTATAGGGTTACAGTGAATGCCCAATCACAGGGTTACAATAACTGCCCACATACTGGGTTACAGTGAATGCCCATTCACATTGTTTACAATTAATCTCCACTTACAGGGTTACAATCAATCCCCACTCAAAGAGTTACAACTGATCTAAATCAGGAATTCTAAAATCAGAAGGTCATTGTTTAAATGTGTTTCTCTAGATACTCTTTATGAAACCCACACTTACTGATAAGGATATGTATTTGGCTGCCATAAAACCCCTGTGAAGGGAAGGTAGCCTTTCCTCCGGACAGTGTCACTATCGGTACACTTGGGTTTAGAGGGCAATGTCCATACTGTGAGCAGCAGTGGTACAAGGATTACAACAAAGGCATTACCTCCCCTTATATTAGCATTATCTCCCCTGGGACTGGCATTATCTCCTCGGAACTGGAATTATCTCCCCTTAGGCTGGCATTATCATTAGATTGGCATTTACTTCCCTCGTATGTCAATCACATCATTCTGTATAATTATGTATTGACTTGTCTGAGCCATAGTGCTCGCATTTTCATGTTGACATTCTATCTTCAAATATTCCATCCAAGTTGGCTTGCCAGGCCTGTTGAGATTGGAATTAGGTGGCCCAGGCCAGACAGCTATCCTTTCAGCTATGGTTCAGCATTGGCCACCATCAAATAGGGGTAATACTTAAGCCCCTGTATCGACTCGCAGACACTTCCCAGTTCAGGATTGTTCGAGTGCTCTATATCACGACAAGCATAGCTACCCTGCCACTATGCTGTTCATTCAGACGAAGGAAACTAGTTTTGAACTTGTTTTATTGTTTCCATAGCAAAGTAATTAAGGTTTTGACTAAGTGATGATTTTTCAACTATTTTACCATGTATAAGGGAATTACAATGATTTACTTATTCCAAAATATTGTTAGCTAAAAATCATTATTCATTGACAAAATATTTCAAAGCTGTCTCTAATCTCTATTAATTCTGCTATGCCTTTGATATATACTGAAGTAAAGAAATAAGCAGACATTAAGAAACAGAATTATTTCTTGGGCATAACTGACATTTTGGTTGTCTTCCAGACCCATGGAAGTGAGTTGACTCACAAGACACAAACTTTACAAATTTTGCGATGAAGCATCCACTTGGATTGCAGTTTTTAGTCTGCCCATAACAATGTGTTCACTTACTTTTTTCCTTCAGTATATATACGTGTGTGCGAGTGTGTGTGCACTTAATGAACGATAATACCCATTATTCATTGTTTTACCTATTTATGCATTTATATTGAGCATTCATCAAAATGCATTATCTTAGCAACTTGACAATTGTGTCTGCATTCTTATTCTAATTTACACTTATCGCAGCTGTGTTACTCAAAATGGCACATTTCGGATATATTTGTCTTGTACATTTTTACAAATAATCTTACCTTCTATCCTGTATGAATTTTTTCGACCATGTACTAGGTCAGCATCAACAGTTAGTATAGTATTTAACATCACCAGGGAACTTTAGGAAGTACGAGCTCATATTTCCATGTGGCTGCACCCAATGTAGATCACTGAACAAGGCCACAATACATTATGTCCTTGTTTGTTGTTTATGGGAATTGACCTGACATTTAAACCTGAATATTTCATTTTTGTGAAGTGCATAAAAAATTCTTGAATGTATCAAAACAAATGTGCAAAATAAGTAATTCTCATTACCTAGTTTCCGATATTCTGTTTGAAAAGAAATGTTTTGCTTTCCTTTGACCAACAAATACATAATTTGTCCTGACCATCGATATGAGTAGGAGCATCATATTAACACAAGGTCATCAGATCCCTGGCGTCCATTTTGAAATCCCTCGAAACCAAAACAAGACGATGCATGTTGGTTTTTGAAAGTTGTTATATTTGGTTGGCTGTACTGATTTCAAGGGACTTCTGTGGACTGTCTATGAGCAGCATTATATCTATGATCAGAATCTGGTCTTGTTTTTGTTTATTCCTTTACACATTTACTGCTTCCTTCAAAGGACATATTATCCTAATTTTAAAACTGAAAATAAAATTTATCAAAATTGACTTCTTGTTGTTTTTGAACTCTAAGTAAAAGAATCACCAAAAAGTAAACCTTTACGGTCAAATTAGTAAGCTAGCACCATAGTCCAAGTGACTGATGCCGCCTGAACTGCATTAACACAGGACAACCTTCATACCCATGCCACCAAATTCACTCTGCCATATAGATATTACAAACTAAATGGAACATACTATAAAAACAACAACAATAGAAGCCAATTTATGATCTAAGAAAAGTTAAATGTAGGTGAACAAAGTGAATTTAAAAAAATTAGGTTGGCCAGGGATAGGCCCACCCACCTATCTGTTAGTCAGAGACCTGTGAAAATATAGACCGACAAGTTATTTTCAAACAGAATCATGTCAATTTACATCTGCTTTTACATAGCTGCAGTTCTGTAGTGACAAACTGGATATCATCAATGGCAAGACCATGACTGCAGAATATTGGTGGTAACCATGTCTTTGTAATGGTGATGGGTGAATGTTATGTCCCGTATCCCACACTTGCTTGACTGGAGACAATGACTCCAGAATATAGATAGAAACCATCTGATGTCCCTGTAACTATCATCTGGGAGGATGATGTATCCCGTATCTCACACTGGCTTGGGTCAGTGCTCACGCTGTTGACCAATGGGTTGTCTGTTCCATGTCAGATTAAGGCTGATGCCATAAGGGTGGAATAGAGCTATGACACGGCTTCTGACAATGATAGGTAGCCCCAATAATTCACTCAAGAATATGCTACATCAGTAATGTGTAACATACTCCTGTTGACCTCAGCATGAGACATACTGTTAATATTGACAAATAACAGGCTGTCACAAACATTTAAAAAAATGTAAATATATGAAAGTTTTCATAATTAACAAATTGGAATACATTTCATTTTAACATGTCTGGTTAATGATAGACATAAACATTGCTCATATTCTTCAAAAACTAATGTTTTACGGGTGTATCCTCAATATTATTGGTAATGTTGCTTCAGTCCTTATCCTACCCCTAGTCTAGTGCATACAGAGTATCAGTACCTCTATTGCTTTTCAAGACTGACATCTTCCCATTATGATGAAACCAGCAGCAGACAATAGACAACTCAAAAGTGTTTCAGGATATTCTCTAGACTGGGAGATCTCTGGACTATTCTCTAGACTATGATCTTGCTTGGATTGATCATATTGACAAATACAAAACAGAACAGTTGCTAGATGATGCCCTGATTGTCTTGATGAAGCAAAATCTATTGGGCAATTTAGTACTTGCTAGGCAACCTTCTTGAAAATGTTCAGAAAACCAAACCTGTTGGTGAGTTGTCAGTTCCAGTGACAAGTCCACTTTGAGAGTCGGTTGTCCAACACATGTTCCCTGTTGAACTGGAGGTCTTTTCCATGAGACCTGAACACCTCCAACAGTTTCCAAACCTCAAGAAGAGTTAGAATCTTGACGGACATTCTCAGACTTGGTACCTCACCCAAACCCCTGTTGATTTAATGCTACTGTGTTGTACCCAAGTCTAACCGTCACAAAACGCCTGTCTAACGCTGTTCCTTATTTCCTTCAGTCGACAAAGAGCCCGACAAGTTCCACGCCGATAGCGCTAGGCAGGGGTAAGGTCTCACTCACATTGTAGCACAGTCACTTTGGAGAACAAAGATTTATGTAATGGAATAGCGCTGTCTGCTTATCTCTATCAGTTTAACAAAATCAGATATTATTAACTGATTTTCATAGATTAATGAGGAATAGAAAAATGAAGCAAAATCATTCAATGAAATATTATTCAGTTCCTTTTAGCAAATTTTTATCCTCGAGATGAAATCTTACACATCTTTTGGTTTATCTGCGTAAAATTAGTGAGAAATCTTGACACTCCAAAGTTGACAGATGCGATTTATAGATCTTTGGCATGGTGTTTTCCACAATTTGTTCTCTTAAAATGCACTGTAAACATTCTAATTATTTCAAAATTTTAATGTTTATTTCCTATGATTTCTCATGGTTTCGGAATGTTTCCTTTCTAAATAGCTTCAAGCATGTTTGAGATCTTACCTCTATTTTCAACATCTTTGTTTTGTGAAAACTTGTGTAGAACTTTCTATGCTGTACTTTCAGTGGTGGTATTATCTGATAAAGATTCTCTGATTTCTTAATTTTTTTAGATTAAATACATCTTGTCATCATTTTGAAGGAAAAATTCCTCTTTAAAAACATTTGACATCACAGGTTTCCTTTTTTCTCTTTCTTTCTTCAAATCTTTTTTTTTTAAATCATAACATTGAAAACACATCCTCCTGTGTTAGATACGTCATCTGCAAGAAAACTGGCTTTTAGAACCTTGCACCTTGCTGTTGACCCACATGTTATGTATACAAATCATAGCACTTCATATTGTGTTACTTTATGTTATCATCCTGTCTGAATATTGTCCTTCATTATGGAGGTGTAGGAATAGTTAAATACAGTCAAATCCCGATGAGTCGAATCGCTGGGGACCAAGTAATAAATTCGACTTATCAATGTATTCGAGACATAGGTATGTCTATGAGGGTAGAAAAAAAGATGATCCAGTCCTAATTCATCTGCCTAAGCATTTGTTTATCTAATGATTTCCCTATCCCTAATAGGGGCACCTTATCAGTTCCAGTCTGATTAGCACAGACAGTGATTTCCGTAAAAACACTAATCTGCCTTTTGAACTCACCCGTCAAAGGCGGAAAGGTGTGAGCTGCACTGGTTTGTTAATTGGATCAGTTTGCTACACCAATCAACTTCTCATTGACTGACTTCGGCTTATGTATACAAGATTGCTGTTGTTTGAATCTCATGGGACCAAATTTCCTTCTCGAGTCATCTTGTGTATTTATGAGTCGAATTCGTGTAACCGGTATTCAAATGATGACAACTATAACAGGGAATGGTCGGGGCCGACAGGTACTTCGAGTTATGCATAATATTTGAGACACCGGCATTCGACTCATCGGGATTTGGCTGTATTATGTCTGTACAGCTAACATGGTGGAGATATAGTCAGGTATATTTCACTCAGCTACTGACGCCAATAGTGTTAGTGTATATCCTAACACTGGTCAAACAGTAATTCCTGGTAGAACATGCATTCTTGGGCTGACTCAAAAGTGGAATCTTGTTAAACTGGAACTGTAGTTCACCGACCTGGAAAGCCATGAGAACAAATACTCCAGGACAGTTTCCAGAGCTGAAATCATTTAGATATTGAAAATTGAACAGTCTGGACTGTCAGGTTCCAGTGTTACTAACCCCTAGAATCACAGGCAAACAGGTCACAAACAGTCATTCATATAGTGGTTAAACAGGCAGCGTCAATACACTCAATAACACAATGCCAGGTCTGGTAGTACTATAAATATTGTTCTTAAAGGAAATCATCAAGCGATACCCAAAGGTTGGACGACGAAAATTAACAAAGTGTCAGAACTGAATTGCCTGTGTACAAACATGATATATGGTGAAGATATGTTGCTTAAATGGTGGCTACTAAAAACTACTTGGTTTCAAACAGAACACGTTGCAGAAATGGTTGATGGTTCTTAGGAGGAAGATGTTTTGTAAAATGATTTCAAAAATAATTTTAACTTGCTGCTATGACCGATGCTAAACACTACAGATTCTACATCTCAGGTGGAACAGGAAATGTTGTGGAAGCTACCAGGATTGGGTTGTCTTCCCATGGCAACTGCTGTTTCACACTGACGTGTGTGGTGCGTACTGCATTCAGCCGACGGACGTCACCCATTCTTTAAGACACTTTCGATCACTATCAGATCGTTTCTCTTGATCTGGGAAACAATCAACCTGAACATGATCGATCAACTAGGAATCATGAATATTTGGGGGCAACTTTTATGAAATTGTCCCCCCCCCCAAAAAAATGACAGTAAAAAATATCCCCAAACATATTCTTAATCCTCTACCTTATTGTGCACTAAATTTCTCAAAGAAACTGTTAGCATAACTGTTCCAAACACCATTGTGTACCATGCAGTAGCCTGTTGCATTATTCCATTTAGTTATAATCCATAATGTCAACTGAACGACCCACATATTCAAACTGAACAAAATGATTTTTTTTAATTCACAGTCGTTTTGCAACTTGAGGCAACAGTAAAAGAACAATCTCCATAATTCACTGAAACTATGCTATTTCCAAGGCAACAGGAAACAATTTCTTTAATTCACAGACACTACAAAACATGTGAGACAAAACTTCATGAACAGATTTAATTAAGTGCGACAGTACACAACTTTGGAAACAACAGTAAATAGAATGGTTTCTGTTAGCTCAGACACACTGAGTCAAACTGAAAGGAAAAAGGAAATACATTCCTTTTTGTTTTGCGAAAATAGCAAAATTATTTTTTCAAAATGTTAAATCTGTTTGGCTTTCAGATCCAGCACAAAAACATGGTGAGTCGAGGGGGGCATTTGCTTCCCTGTCCCGCCATCAATAACACCCCACCCCCACCCCACCCCACCTACACACACCCTCCACCCTGTTGCTGCTACTGTAAGACTGCTAACACATCCTACGTACTAACACACGACGCCAGCTGCTCGACTGCTGCTGCCGCGCTAACGGTGATACCCACTCAACATCACGATCTCATCGTGTCATTGCATCATGTTTTCTGCTTCAGATGTACGTGCTTTTCAAAATTAGAATGACGTGGAGAAACGTGAGTAAGTAGATACCAAGAGATGATAGTTTGCATGACCCCAGTAGTCGCTAGCTAACTTACTGACACACGTGTGAAGCTGGCAGACCTTCTCTCACACATCACCTGGACACAAATTGAATGAAGAGTCAAGGCGATCAACAAACTCTCAACTGTGTGTATAGTTTGAAATACCTACCCTCAGACTTCACCCCCCCCGTTTTCAGCCAAACCCTACCCTCCAGGAATAAACAACTGGTACCTCCAAAATGTGCACAGTAATGTGAAATCTTTTGTAGACATAGATGGTCACTTGGAGGACCCCTGTCACAATGATATACAGGGTTCGTATCCAATTTGTGGAAATATTTGGGATTGGTGTTGTATAGTTTTATAGAAAACAGCCTCAACTGCAGGGAAAATACGTTTGTGGAGAAACGGTTTCTTGAATTTTTCTGGGGTGAGCACATCTGTTATATCTCCATGGTTTGCATTTCAGTAAACGCGTACACTAACCCCTGAATCCATTCCAATGGTTCTCGCAATCTCAGATTACCTACCCTTAGTTTCCATTTGCCAGTAATATTGGCTATGCTTCTAACATATCATGATGGACAGTCCCACATTTTATGATCAAGTTTGTTGGAAGTTCAATGTAGGAAAACAGACTGACACAGAAATAAAAGCTCTAAATATTCTTGCTTTGCAGGTTATATTGTTTCCCTTTTCCTTTGTGTCAACATCAGATGTTTGGGGGTAATATGTTAATGAATGAATAGTAATGAAATTCAAGGGTTCGTAATTTAAAATCACAAGACCCACAAGAATGGATCCAGGAGTCAGTGAAGGTTTACGGAAATGTGACCTGGAGATAGATGACGGAGGAACATTACTGGACCTGACAAAATGTGGTTGGTATTGTCACAAGAGTCTCAAATGTTTCATGACACACATCGACCATTAACTAGGAATCAACGATCCTATCTGTATGTTGTATGTAAGATATAAAAAATATCCACCTATCTGACCCCTCGCTTCTGTATGTTGTATGTAGGATGTCACCAAATGTCCACCAATCTGACCGCTCCCTTCTGTATGTAGGATGTCATCAAATGTCCTCCCATCTGACCACTCTCTTCTGTATGTAGGATGTCACCAAATGTCCTCCCATCTGACCACTCCCTTCTGTATGTAGGATGTCATCAAATGTCCTCCCATCTGACCTCTCCCTTCTGTATGTAGGATGTCACCAAATAACCTCCTATCTGACCACTCCCTTCTGTATGTAGGCTGTCACCAAATATCCACCAATCTGACCGCTCCCTTCTGTATGTAGGATGTCACCAAATGTCCACCAATCTGACCGCTCCCTTCTGTATGTAGGATGTCACCAAATGTCCACCAATCTGACCACTCCCTTCTGTATGTTGGATGTATAGGATGTCACCAAATGTCCTCCCATCTGTATGTAGGATGTCATCAAATGTCCTCCCATCTGACCTCTCCCTTCTGTATGTAGGATGTCACCAAATAACCTCCCATCTGACCACTCCCTTCTGTATGTAGGATGTCACCAAATGTCCACCCATCTGACCTGCCCTTCCTTCTGTCACCAAATGTATGTGTCACCATGTCACCAAATGTCCACCATCTGATCTGACCATGTCACCAAATGTCCACCCATCTGACCGCTCCCTTCTGTATGTAGGATGTCACCAAATGTCCTCCCATCTGACCTCTCCCTTCTGTATGTAGGATGTCCACCCATCTGACCACTCCCTTCTGTATGTAGGATGTCACCAAATGTCCACCCATCTGACCACTCCCTTCTGTATGTAGGATGTCACCAAATGTCCTCCCATCTGACCACTCCCTTCTGTATGTAGGATGTCACCAAATGTCCTCCCATCTGACCACTCCCTTCTGTATGTTGTATGTAGGATGTCACCAAATGTCCACCCATCTGACCGCTCCCTTCTGTATGTAGGATGTCACCAAATGTCCTCCCTGTATCTGTCACCAAATGTCCAAACCATCTGACCACTTCCTTCTGTATGTAGGATGTCACCAAATGTCCACCAATCTGACCGCTCCCTTCTGTATGTAGGATGTCATCAAATGTCCTCCCATCTGACCACTCTCTTCTGTATGTAGGATGTCACCAAATGTCCTCCCATCTGACCGTCTCCCTTCTGTATGTAGGATGTCACCAAATGTCCACCCATCTGACCGCTCCCTTCTGTATGTTGTATGTAGGATGTCACCAAATGTCCTCCCATCTGACCACTCCCTTCTGTATGTTGTATGTAGGATGTCACCAAATGTCCACCCATCTGACCTCTCCCTTCTGTATGTTGTAGGATGTCACCAAATGTCCACCCATCTGACCACTCCCTTCTGTATGTAGGATGTCACCAAATGTCCTCCCCATCTGACCACTCCCTTCTGTATGTTGTATGTCAGGATGTCACCAAATCTGACCACTCCCTTCTGTATGTAGGATGTCATCAAATGTCCTCCCATCTGACCTCCCTTCTGTATGTTGTATGTAGGATGTCACCAAATGTCCTCCCATCTGACCACTCCCTTCTGTATGTAGGATGTCACCAAATGTCCTCCCATCTGAACTCCCTTTCTGCATGTAGGATGTCACCAAATGTCCTCCCATCTGACCTCTCCCTTCTGTATGTAGGATGTCACCAAATGTCCACCCATCTGACCACTCCCTTCTGTATGTAGGATGTCACCAAATGTCCACCCATCTGACCTCTCCCTTCTGTATGTAGGATGTCACCAAATGTCCACCCATCTGACCACTCTCTTCTGTATGTTGTATGTAGGATGTCACCAAATGTCCACCCATCTGACAACTCCCTTCTGTATGTAGGATGTCACCAAATGTCCACCCATCTGACCACTCCCTTCTGTATGTAGGATGTCATCAAATGTCCACCAATCTGACCACTCCCTTCTGTATGTAGGATGTCATCAAATATCCAAATGAACACTCTCCCTTCTGTATGTAGGATGTCCAAATCTGACCACTCCCTTCTGTATGTTGTATGTAGGATGTCACCAAATGTCCACCCATCTGACCGACCCTCCCTTCTGTATGTTGGATGTCATGTCAAATGTCTCCCATCTGACCCCTCTCTTCTGTATGTTGTATGTAGGATGTCACCAAATGTCCTCCCATCTGACCGCTCCCTTCTGTATGTAGGATGTCACCAAATGTCCTCCCATCTGACCACTCCCTTCTGTATGTTGTATGTAGGATGTCACCAAATGTCCTCCCATCTGACCGCTCCCTTCTGTATGTTGTATGTAGGATGTCACCAAATGTCCTCCCATCTGACCCCTCCCTTCTGTATGTATGTAGGATGTCACCAAATGTCCTCCCATCTGACCCTCCCTTCTGTATGTTGTATGTAGGATGTCACCAAATGTCCTCCCATCTGACCGCTCCCTTCTGTATGTAGGATGTCACCAAATGTTCCTCCCATCTGACCACTCCCTTCTGTATGTTGTATGTAGGATGTCACCAAATGTCCACCCATCTGACTCCCTTCTCCCTTCTGTATGTAGGATGTCACCAAATGTTCCTCCCCCCATCTGACCCCTCCCTTCTGTATGTTGTATGTAGGATGTCACCAAATGTCCATGTCCACAATCTGACCGCTCCCTTCTGTATGTAGGATGTCATCAAATGTCCTCCCATCTGACCACTCTCTTCTGTATGTAGGATGTCACCAAATGTCCACCAATCTGACCACTCCCTTCTGTATGTTGTATGTAGGATGTCACCAAATGTCCTCCCATCTGACCCCTCCCTTCTGTATGTTGTATGTAGGATGTCACCAAATGTCCACCCATCTGACCACTCCCTTCTGTATGTTCTTGGGATGTGTGTGGGGGTTGGGGTGGGAGCTGGGGGAGTATCTATCATTGGATGATTGGTGTATTGGTCTGAGAAACATGGTTGTCAAACACATTGACGTCTGCAGGTTTCAGGAATTTTAAAATATGTAGTAACACAAAATGCTTGACCAAACTACTGAAACCATCAGTGAGTGAGTGAATGTTTCTGAACACCACATTCAGCATTTAACCAGCATTATCATGACCTAGGCAGCCCAGTAACTGAGTCATCAACATGGAAAGGTTGCAACCACACAGAATCATTCTGACGTAAGAGGAAGGTTTAGACTGGCTCATGACCATGTACATTCCGCTGTCTGTTCCTAACCACATGGGTATCCAAGTGCAAGCATTGATGACACACCTCAGTCTCCTCCTGATACCTAAAGTAGCCAATGATACTCTTGCAGTGTGTATCAGACATGATCAGATTGTCCAAGTAGTGACATGTAAGCACTGACAATTTCTAAAGCTGTTTTCTGGAAAACTATTTGGGATTAAGATGTTTTCATTGAAAAACACACAGTCTTTCAAGTTAAACACTTAGGACATGACAGGGAAATTAATCACATCTCCTTGTATACATCGTAATGATTGAAGGAGCAGACAAACATGGAGGTGTCGAATTGAACTGGCTGCGACTGATGTCCTTCATGAAGTGGCCTATCCTCTGTCTGTCTGTACAGTGGACCGATGGACCGGAACATGCTGACATTCACATGGATGAGAACCGCAAATTGAAGCAATTTGGAAACATGGGATAAATGTGGTCATTAGTGATCATTATTTGTGTAACATTAGCAATCATTAGTTTTGCCGTGCACAGAAAGGACAGAGGTTGTATCGGAATGATATTCTTCATGGATGTAGGAGCAAATGCCTGGAAAAATACACTTAATAAAATAACCACATTCACAGATATATATGGAACACATCCCATCATCTAGGTCTTAACAGAACTTAAGTACTTATATATGGAACACATCCCATCATCTAGGTCTAAACAGAACTTCAGTACTTATATATGGAACACATCCCATCATCTAGGTCTAAACAGAACTTAAGTATAGTATACTTAACAAATACATGTGTTCTTTATATTATATAATACTCAGCAAAAGTTAAGGACCACCCCAATATTCAATACTTAGTATTATAGGCATCATAATATAAACTATTAAATACTTTAATATTGAAAATTGGGGTGGTCTTTAACTATTTTTGTTGAGTATATGTAAATATCTACTGTGTCGAGGTTGAAGGGACCTGTGTAAGTTCTTTGAATCAGCTGAGGTTCGACACAACCACAAAATGATGACAAAATAAGGAATATGCAGGGACCAAGCTTTTACATTGAGACAAGTGTACTGGTAAGTTTATCACATCAAAGCTTGACATAAGGGTGTTTCACTGTCTGTATATATGTGTTATAACAACATAATCTCATTCACATACAACCTATAATCTGGATACAGTGTCAGTCTTGAGGGTGACACTGGAGTCGGATCTCGCTGCACCAAATACCGACCTTGCGGTGTGATCACACGTGGCAGACATCAACATGCTGATGCAGCCGAACTGTCAGGCAATGCCAAAGGTCAACAAGGATAAGAATGCATATTTAGTTTATTGATGACTTGGGAATAACCAGTTTAAACCCAGAAATACATAACACTCAGTGAGAACATCGTACGGCAGACTAATATAACACACATAACCATAGCATGATGACATTCCTCTGACAGACATGAATACCACATACATCATATACTAACTACGAACTAACTATACAAACTAATACTAATTAATAAATGCTGACATAATACTAACTGTTTCCTGTTATGCTTATAACTAAATGCTTATATTGATCCTTATACTAACTTAGGTTTGATCATGTGACACTGACATGTGATCATGTGACACAATGAGACTCAGTCTGGGACAAAGCCTGGCAGGTAAAGCAAACAAGCAGTGCTATACTTGTGATGGTACTAGATACTATTTTGAAACTTACTGAGGCCAGACCAATTTTATTTCTTGTTTTATTGATTTTGTCCTCAGAAAACCTACAGACAGGAGGGAAAAAAATAAAAAATAGAATTCACCAAAGTAATATTCCTTTTAAATACTAAAAGTATTTATATTTGGCAATTTATGAAGTGTATATGAGGCAAAAAAACAATAAAAGTTTTGTTGTTGTTGTAAGTTTTGTTTCGGTTTTTTCAATGGCATCTCAGAGCTGCTTCAAGCCCCTCAGTCAGGTGATTACTGAATAAACATATCAACTTAGTAGGACATTTCATGTGTGGAGACAAACATATTGAAAAGGCTTGACTCACTGTAGATAGAAGTGAAAAAGAACATGGCCTCACATGAAAATTATTACATGAATTCTGCCCTTCCAGAACATCTTACGAAAAACATCATATGAAAAATCCTGACCACCATATTTGCTGGCCACAAACTACAAAGAGGAAACTACCAGAAATCTGTTCTTACACTGTGCTCTTCTTGATTGCTGCCTTATTGTTAGTGTTGCCACAGTCAGCTCAAAGCCTGGATGAGTGTGTGTGTGTGTGTGTGTGCGTGCATTCGTGCGTGTGCGTGCACGTGCGCGCACAATCACCTGATGAAGGGACACAAAGTAGCTCTGAAACTCTGTTAACAAGACTTAAAGAAGTCGTTGGTTGGTATTTAGCCGTTACACATGTAAGGGAAACAACTTCTTTTATTCTTTACACAACATGTTGGAGCTACTTCCTGCTGCTTTCACATGAAGGAGCAAGAAGTAACTTTGAAGAATTGTGACAAAGATTTAAAAAAGTTGTTATCTAAAAGAAGTTTAATGTAATCATTTTCAGGTAAGTATTAAGAGACTGATTATATGAGTGAATACACAAACAGATACCAATACACAGAAACAATCTGTATAAATATATTACATGCCTGTCTGTAGGATCTCGTTGACCAACTTACGCTCAAGGCTCAGGACACACGTTTATACCCTGCATAAACAATAACAGTTGACAGAATAACTGACAAGACAATTTGCAATTTAGGCCAGTTAGCTGAAGGATGTCCTTAAACCGATGAAGCTTCTGTTTTCTCATCTTTCTTCAGCAATTCATTCAATGTTTACTATTTCAGCCTTCCATGATTGTACTTCCAGCAGATGAACACTTTTGTCGTCTGCTCTATGCAAGCAAGATGGCGCCCACATCGCCATAGTTACCAGAAGAGGGCAGGAGGTACAGAGGATGCACCTGCTGCTGAAGTCCCCACTAGGGCTGTAGCGGCGGCTTCTAGACGTGACTAAATCATGGACACTGCTGTGTAGCGGCATCTTCTCAACAGCTAGAGTAATGGCATTGTCAGATTGTTGTCAAAATATGTGCAATGCCATGTAAGTCATTGTGTCATATTCTTTTTCCTCTTCAAATTTTCCTCATGGACTTTGATTTAATATCGTTTTCAAGCGGCTGGTGTTCGGTGATTGCTTGGATCATGTCCTTCGGGAACATAACTGTGAGAAATGTGAGAAAGGCAAGTGTCGGCTGTGGAAATCTTTTGGCAGACACTAGGTGTACTGACATGAACAAGGATGCCCTCTCTGGACAGCCCTCAACTACAGGGTACGCTGCAGTGTTGGAGACAGGAAGTTAGCCATGGATGTACAATATTGTGAACACTGTGGAGGGGATATCTCGCGTATACCACGTACAGTACATATATATCACTATCCCATGATACTCAGCCCAGCTAGAGATGAATCTCGTCACCTTCTCCATTGTGGGAGCTGGACTAATCCTGCCTTGAAACACTGGACTCGCGCAGTACAAACTGCCACAGCCATGTTGTATGTTACTTTACACCACTGGAATGAAAACTGTGCATGATTGAAACTTAATTTTCAATCTGTTCTTTGTGTGAAATATCTACAGCCTTTTAGTGTGTAGTGGTGATTAGATTCTCATCTTTGCCTTTTTTTTCTAACAGTTGCCTCAAATGATTAATCCACAAGGGGCAAGAACAAGATGGCTGCCGAATGTGATATTTATCTGTACTGCTGGAAGTGAGTGTTTAAAGGTACATATCAACGAAATTGTGTCATGCAGATAGCAGGAGAACCTTCAGGATTTAATACATCACAGCTGTTTAACAACATTGAGTTATCAACAGGTCCAGTTCAGGAGATGTGTACCTCAACACAAGGTAGACCGTGTCCAGGCATGTCATGTGACTTACCTCATTCACTGGCTTGTACAGGATCGTGAAGAACACATGGAACCTGGTAGCCTCAAACCAATTAATATCAAGATTATTCATGAACTGTGGAATTATATCAGCATTAATTAATATTGAAATGTTTGCAGTGGGTTGTCATAAATTATTTCAAGGAAGAAAAGCTATATGTGAACTATGGTAAACACTGGATATGTCATGTGGTAAGACTAACAAGATGGACAAGATGGAAGACATGACAAATTGGTGACAAAACGGGTACTCTTACCTTTGACAGTTATATTGGAACTGAATAACATGGTGTGACATCTGCAGTTGTCGGGGATATTTCTAGATGTTGGCAATGACAGTCTTTTCTAAATGTTAGCCATTTCTTGAGGTTTGTGACGAAAGTCATGAAGGTAATGACAGACACCAGTCTACAAATTTTAAAAAACCTGTTGGATTGTTTTCAAAATTCTTTGCAGATAACCAAAATAGTTCTGATGGAAATCCCATCACAAAATAAAATCAGATTCAAACTCACAGAGTTTTCAAAATAAAAGTATTGTAACATATATTCCAGCTGTTATTCCAACCTTTGATGAATCAAATATTCATAGAAGAATTATCCCCTACAATTGTTTGGGAAAGATTAACAAAGTCAAACTTACCAGATATGGACAGATGTCACATGCAGTTGTAAGCTAATCATTCAATAAGGTCATCTGTGGCCTGCGTTACAAAGCAATCTTAATGCTAAGATCATACTTTACATACATAGACAGTTGTAGCAGTAAGATCATCATAACTCCCATACTTTACATAAACCTAAGACAGTCGTTGATCTTAGATTGTCTTAACTCCCATACTTAAACATAGACTAATGACAACCGTAGCACTAAGATGATCATAATTCCCATACTTTAACAAAAACTAGCTCTAAGATTGCTTTGTGGAACTGGAGGCAGGATAACAGTGTGTAAAAACTTGGTCATTCCATCCCGTCATGCCCTCCAAAGACACTATGCATTAATGTTTCCAAGGAGCACATTGAAATAGAAGCACAGGTCAGTGTATATGGCAATTTGTACAGAGAACCAAGCTGGACCATTTTCCTTTTAAAGGGGCTCTTTGAGCAGGGTTTATCAATGTTTCACTTTTCTCCAAACTGAGTTGCAAGATAGTTGCTATATTTTGTTCCTGTTTTATGCATGCTACTAAAGAGTGCTTGTCAACACAGTATGGCCTAAGATCTCCTGAGTGTTGATGAGCACCAACATATTTGTCAAGACAAAAGTTTATCTTCTGCCTTAAAGAAATTGATGGGATAAAATACACCTAATATCGTCATTAGTGCAGAATGTTTACCAGTTGTACAGTGGCAGGTATGTGGGGACACACTAGTAGACACACCTGTGGAGGCACACCTGTGGAGACACACCTGTGGGGACACACCTGTGGAGGCACACCTGTGGAGACACACCTGTGGGGACACACCTGTGGAGGCCTTGCTCTTCTTGGTGTAAGTCGGAAGCGACATACAGTTCATTTCATCCGTTACCATTCACAGTGTTAATAGGAACATTAATCTTGTGTAAGTTAACGTGTTCATACTCGTTTGTGTCTTCTTATTTTTCTATTCTAGCAAGATTTAAACTTTGCTATATTGAGTTTCGGCAGTATGTAAGCCAAAATACAGAAGAAGAGACTGTAGCATAGGCACATGCAGAGTGCATATTTCACATAGGCTCAAAGAGCCCCTTAGTTACTCATGCTTAGTCTAACTAGATGCTTTTTAACCATTCACAAGGAAACGGTCTTGCTGACTGTGATGACCCGAGGCCTTTATAAATCTATTTGGTTTACAGATCCTCTCACCAAAAATGGAGAGAAGAAATTAGAGAGAAAAAATATAAAATAAATTAATTATTTTTAATATATGAATGACTTAATAAACTTATATATTAAATGATATTTATATTTCAAGAAGGAATCACTTCCGCAATGATTTATGTGACAGTGCGGTGCCGACTGTCATTTCCAGCTACATCTAAGTATTGTCATGTCAGAATTTAAGATATTTATGTCACTACCAAACTGATATGTTTAGAAAGCACAACACCAACGAAAATAAGGCCTAACCAAAGAGATATGATGTTGACTCATTAGTGTGATCCAAGTCTATGTTTTACTTTGATTGAGTTTCTCTCCAACAGATCAGTAGTCTGTTACAACTGTAGATTTGTCATTAGGCAATCGGTTTCTAAAATAGAACTACAAACCTGTGAGGACCGGGTATCTTTTATCTTCAGTGTAGCGTGGTGTTGGGTTTCAATACAGATGTAGCTACGTACAAGCTACTAGTTCTCCATGTACATAATGTATATTGTTATTCATACAGCGCCATGACGGTTACTTCCTTTGTATGGTATTAGGTGCATTTGTTGAACTCTTTATCTTGTTGCATTTACCTTTTCATTGATTTCCCAGGAATAAATCCTTCAAAGTCAAACACTGTCTGTTCTTCCTTTGAAACATTTGCCAGCTTCTATTACTGATAAATCAGGTCACATGCAAGTAGGGTATCATGCATGTAGAAACATTCAGCAGTCCTGACATAAACAGCCCCTCGGGAGACAAGAACAGGTTGTTGCCGTCCTATTAAAACCAGCAACATCATTGGGAGACAAGCTGTTGCAGTCCTGTTCAAATCAGGTATTATGGCAATGATGTTATAGAGGTAGACGTTTTCGTAAGTGTTATAATGATTATGTATCCGTGGTTTGATCCCTTGGTCGTCTTCGTGTTGTCATGGATACAGCATCTGTCAGGAGAATAGAAGTTTGGCAGGTTGATCAAATGGTCGTCTCAATAGTGTCGTGGACACAGCATTGATCAGGAGAACAGGAGGCTGGTGGTTTGATACCCTGGTCGTCAGGTTGGCGGTATGGTAATCTCAATGGTGTCGTGAACACAGAATCTAGCAGAACAGAAGGTTGGTGGTCCCATCCAATGGTCATCTCAGTGGTGTCGTGAACACAGAATCTAGCAGAACAGAAGGTTGGTGGTCCCATCCAATGGTCATCTCAATGGTGTCGTGAACACAGAATCTAGCAGAACAGAAGGTTGGTGGTCCCATCCAATGGTCATGTCATTGGTGTCGTGAACACAGAATCTAGCAGAACAGAAGGTTGGTGGTACGGTCATCTCAATGGTGTCGTGAACACAGAATCTAGCAGAACAGAAGGTTGGCAGTACGATCCAATGGTCATCTCAATGGTGTCGTGAACACAGAATCTAGCAGAACAGAAGGTTGGTGGTCCCATCCAATGGTCATCTCAATGATGTCGTGGATACAGAATCTGCCAGAACAGAAGGTTGGTGGTCCCATCCAATGGTTGTCTCCTACGTGTGGTGGCCAGTGGTTTTGAGCATGTTTTTGTAAAGGTATTTTCAGTCCAGTACATGCTTCACTCTTCCAGCATATCAACCAAACAGAGAAATTAATGTTTCAAGTCATATTTATTCAAGACACTTTTCAGTGATCATGTTCCAGATAAAAGATTGTCCTGGAATATTGTTACATAAAGTACATATACAATATTTGACATATCCAGCATGTTCGCCATGTTGTAGGAGTGTATATGAAAATCCTAACACAAAGACAAAAAGAGATCATAGACAAGTTGGATCATCGACACAAGACAAATATTCCACTGTTCTCTCAAATGCAATTTGTACAAGTATAATGGTTCTAAGGGACAGACCAGGGTATGTATCATAAGTGTGAGTGAGCAAGCGTGTGTGTGTGTGTGAGAGAGAGAGAGAGTGTGTGTGTGAGAGAGAGAGAGAGTGTGTGTGTGAGAGAGTGTGAGAAAGAGAGTGTGTGTGTGTGAGAGAGGAGAGAGAGAGAGAGAGAGAGAGAGTGTGTGTGTGTGTGTGTGCACACATGCACGGTATTCAGCTATGTTACAGTATGTCAGGTCAATGTGAGAGGACAGCCCCAAGTAATATTGGTCCCTGACATTCACCACTTTGGGGAAATCAACAAGCCTGTTTAGGGTGTTGACAAAGCTTCGAACATAATTAGGGTGAACCAGAATCTGAACCCATGATCACAGGATTCTGTCAGGGCTAAGGGACACAACTCTGCACAGTAAAGAAGATAGTCTGAGGACTATGTTGTGTATGCCTGATACTATATGAAAATGCTTCCACCCAATGATGGGTCATTTTCAAGCATGTTGTTCTATCTGCATACAACATAAACAAACATGGCACCTGATTACATAAATACATGAAGGTATACGGTGGTTGTTTCACACACCAGCTGATCATAGAAAAAGTACCACTGGAATTTCTCAAACTATGCAGATTGTGTATACCAAACAAATACTTCATCCTACAGAGTGTATTAACAGTGTTGATTTTATTTTAACCAACTGATTACCTCCCTTACATAAAAAATATTTCCCTGAAAAGGTACGGAAATTAATATGGTTAATGTGTGACATGAATACCTACATCTGACTTCGAACATGATCAGTCCAGAATTCTTTACCTGAAATTATGTTATCTGTTTTTATGGCTGAATGTCATTTATCTAAATTTTGTAAAAAGTCAGAAGAAATATTCAGCTGGTGACATAGTTAAACACAATGGTTAGACTACAAATAGATTGAATGTTTCTATGACATAACTAAATTGGTTTGTTCAAGACAAGCAAGGAACTGTAAAAGCAGATAACATGGCCATGCATGATTCTTTGAGTGAGTGAGTTGGGTTTTACGCAGTGTTTAGCAATATTTTCGCAATATCAGGGGACACCAGAAATGAGCTTCACACATTGTACCCATGTGGGGAATCAAACCTGGGCCTTCGGTGTGATGAGTGAATGATTTAACCACTAGGCTACTCCACGGGCCCCCATGATTCTTTGAATGTGAACAAGATATCTTGGCAGCTCTTTCATGAAATATCGTTATGAACTTCATTTACACAAGATTTAGGCAAGACTTCTTTTCTAATATTGTTGTACAGAATGTTATACAAAGGCGCATATAAACATTAGTGATTGCTGCTGAAGTGATTCATTGTGTGGCATTGTGTGGTTCCTGGCTCAGAAAATATCATAGGTCTTGAAGATGATGAAAAAGTGACCAAATCATCATTTGTCTCCAGGAGAAACCCACCTAGCCTACCATGAATATCAGTGATATTATGTACAGTTTCTGTACTATTCCACATAGATGGTGAAACAGCGAAAGAGTTGTTTGTAATCCTGGAGTGTCGGTAGCAAGCTGAAACAGATGGAGACAGTCATTTTCCATTTCAATGAAATACAACGCAGTGCTGACAAAGAAGGAATCATCGTAAAGGCAAATCTGGTATTGGAATAATCATCGGACCCCTGGCCCGACAAATGTACACTCTGCACAGACAATACAAGCACCTTAAATACAAAACCTTAATGCCAGTGTATGAAATAAGGCCCGTCCGACCGCCCAAGACGGTCTAGATTTCTGACGGACGGTCTAAATTTACAGCTAGCCAGCACGATGGTCTGGTAAATTTTTTAGATGTTCCATACATCTGAGTAAATTCACCATATTTGGTCTGGTTAAATCCATTTTGGGCTGGTAACCTTTTGAAGTTACCAGCCCTGATGTCTGGCTGGATTTTTGGCTTATTTCATACACTGTTAATGCCAGTGAACATGAAACTTGGTTGTGTGAATATCTCTGCACAGGTCTTCCTGTGCTTCCAGATACATGTACTGATTTAAACTTAATGAACTATTTCCATTTTCATCCTGTTTTTGGCCCAGTTTCACAATAATTATGAATGTCAAACTCTTGAGTTGAGTATATCTTTAGAATGGCACTAGAGTTCCTTGAGAATAGCTTTCACATTTCCAATGACATGATTCAGGTTATTGTGAATGCAGTAGTGCATGAGTGATTCTGCTGCCTTCAAGGCGTCACCTCTCGACCTCAGGATCGGTCTGTCTGACCTACTGGCATCCTCTGAATAATCTTCACTCTTGATGTCAGGAGTCTTGGAGTACTGACCGTTCTGTGGGTCTCCCGGGCTTTCGGTAGATGACACAGGGTAAGTTTCACCACGTTTTGCACGTCGAGATGATGCATACAGACTTCGAGCTAAAGGGGAGATTACTTCCACTGGGAAACTGACTGAAGGATCTGTCAGTTCATTTTCATTACCATCAGATTCCTCCTCTATATCAGAAGCATCACTTTCATTGTCACTAGAATCCTCAGTGCGGTCGACCATCGCGGCACTTCCAGTGCTTTGTGAGGCATCTTCATTCTGGAGAGGAACATCACTGTTAGCATAACAAGAAGTCTGATCACTGGTATCTGGGACGTGAGGGACAATTCCAAACCCATCCTCACTGCTACCTCCTCCTATGTAGTAGCTCAAAGGTTTCCTTGCAAAGCTCTCTATTGCTTTTTTAATCAAATTGTCATAAACGTCACCATCCTCCATTGACGGGATGTCTGGGCAATAACCAACATCAAACCCACAGTCAAAGAAGGCTCTGGCAACAACTCTGGCATCAATATCTTTCACAGCCTGGCTGAGCCACAAACATGCATCCAAGACCGAGACATAACTAAGCACTTTAGAGATACCCTCGTTTACATTAGCCATCTGTGTCAGAAGGGCTGACAGCATACGTTTCTGGTAGTTGCGCTAAATGCATCCACCACTCCATGACACAATGGCTGGAGCCGGATGGAGTAAGTTGGAGGACATACCATTTGAACATTCTCAAGAATGATCTCAGTAGCATCTGGAGGTGTCCGGTCCACAAACAATACAATCTTCCTTCCCTGTTCTCCCATCCTCTGGTCCAGAGACACAACCCATTCAGTGAAGAACTCAACTGTTGACCACGTGCTCGTGCTCCATCTCCAGGTCACAGGCACATCTGATGGTATATCTCCTTCAGTCTTTTCCTGCTTTCCTATCACAACAGGAGTTTCGAATTCTCCCAGGATATTGCAACACATGACTACAGACACATTCTGACTCTGGAACCTCTTCTTGATCTGATACTGAGCTGCATCTACAACCTGTTCTGGCATACTGGTGAAAAATAAAACTGTCTCGCTCACACTGAACACATCCTTTGCCTCATACTCCCTTGTGTACTCTGGCAGCTTATCTCTCCAAGACAAAATATCCTTTTCATCACAAATCACAAGATTCTTCTGTTCATTGGTAACAATATTGTTTCTTCTTCTGAAGCTGTCCAGCCAGCCATTTGAGGCCTTGAAATCATCTCTGCCCAACTGTTTCGCAATCTCCCTTGCTTTTGCCTGTACCAGAACTCCAGTGAGTTGAACCTCGCCCCTAGTGTGAGCTTCCTGGAACCACTGCCATGTCAGTCTGTTCACGTCATCATTCTCTGCTCTGTGGTTCAAACGTTTCATGCCCCCTTTGCCTGTTCTGCTATACGTTTCCACAATTTCATCCTTTCTCCTAAGGATGGAGTGAACCTGTGATTTTCCAACGCCAAACATCGTTGCTAATTGTCTTTGGCTCTTCCCTTCACTTTGGAAGATGAGTTGAACCTTTTCCTCAATAGTCAAGTCTTTTCTTTTACAAACCTTCTCTTTTTTTCTCTTTTTGGGCTTCACTTTTTCATTTGCACTATCATCCATCAATTCTAAGGGGTATATGCTTCCTAGTGGAATGTTTTCTGGGGGATCATAAACAAATCCCTGACCTGTTGAAAACTTAATATTATGTCTTTTTCTAAAAGTATCCAACCAACCGTTTGAAGCTTTAAAGTCATCTCTCCCAAGCTGGTTTGCAAATTCTTTAGCCTTAGCTTGCAGCATGGGACCCGAAATTTGAACTGACTTCATCTTGGCTATTTCTTTGAACCAATGCCAGGTCAACTGATTAATTTCATCACTCTCTGCTCTGCTGTGTAATCTCTTCCTGTTTGTATTCCCAAGTCTTTCATATGCTTCTAAGATCTCATTCTTCCTCTTTAGAGTGGAGTACACTTGAGAACGGCCAACTCCAAACATTTTGGACAGTTCTCGTTCCGCTTGCCCGCACTATGCTGCTGTAACAGTTCCACTTTCTCAAGTAGGTTCAGCTCACACCGCTTGAACTTCTTCCCAGATGCTGGTTTTCTGCTCTTGTTTGGTGTAGCTGAGTCTAAATCTTTAGCAGGATCTTCCCCAGGAGTATTTGGTTCTGGAGTGGAGACAACAGTTGAGACACTCTCATTGGGAGTTTCTACATTTTTTGCAGAATTGTCTTCTGATGCATCAGACTGGACAGCTTCATCATCATCATCTCCTTGTCCAGAAATGAAGCTACCATCTTCACCCCAGGTTTCGTTGCCACTGACAACTTGGGAAGGCCAGGGTGTCAAACCAGTGGTGTCTTTCACATACATGCCCTGCTTGGAATTGAACCCAATGTTGTTCCTTTTACAGAAGCTATGCAACCAGCCGTTGGAGGCCCGGAACTCTGTGCGACCCAGTTCAAGGGCAAACTCCTTGGCTTTTTCCTGAACAACTGGACCAGAAAGAGATGTATCACCCTTTTTATATTCACTCATAAACCAGTCCAAAGTAAGGCTGTTGATTTCATCCTTGTCTGCTCGTAAGCGAAGCCTTTTTCTTTCAAGTTGGCCTCCCTGTTCATACATGTTCATAATTTCTCTTTTTCGTTTTAGAATCAGATTGACCTGAGATTTGCCAACACCAAATATTTCTGCAAGTGCTCTCTGGCTTTTACCTTTGCTGTGGTGAATCAGATCGACTTTCTCTTGCAAGGTGAGTTCAATTCTACGACCTCTGTCCTTTGAAGATGGGAGAACAGGAATTGAGAGGAATGATTCAAGTTGGTTTGATGGAGAAAAGCTTGAGGTACTGAGAGCTGGCACTGATGAAGCAGACGGCATGTTGTACACAGATGGCTGAGAACTGGAAGTATTTGAGGCATCATCCTTCGACATACTGCTAATAGTTTCATAAATCTGTTGGGGTGATGTGAATCCAGTTTTAGACACAAGAGACTGAATGTGAGACAAGTAGGAGAGGTCTAGATCAGAATTAGTTTCTGGAACAGATGAATCCGCCTCTCCACTTGTGGGTGGAATGCCTGCCTTTGCCATTGCTGCCCGTACCTGTGACTCCATCTTTAACAGATGCTGTGGATCGGTGTCTGAGATCGGTTTCTGGCCTTGAGTTGATGTTACAAGGCCGAGAGTGTTAATGAACTCGGATGTTGGATATTGTGTAACAGGTGGGCAAGGAGGCGGCGGAGGTATTTGGGAAGAAGCTAAAGTGAGTGAGGGTGATGCTCCTTGTGACAATGACACAGCTACAGCAGACAAAAACCTCAAGTCGGACTCATCAGATTCCATTCAGCAGCACTTCAGTAACAGTTTAGGCGGGTTTTATGGGACGCACATCCCTGCGAGCATCAAGCTTCACTTTCTACCCTCGGTAGTCTTGTTCCGCCACACTTCAGAAACGGTCTAGGTCGGTTTTATGGAACACATCCCTGTGAGGATCAAGCAGCACTTTCAACACTTGGTAGTTTTGTTCACACTTTCTAAATGGTCCAGGTAGGTTTCATAGGGTATACATCACTGTGAGCATCAAGTTGCACCACAAAACTCCGTAGTCTTGTTCATGGACACATCCCAGTTGGGGGCCTGGAGCCTTCCTTGTGGAAACCCTGGAACAAGAATACAATGATTTATAACCTGTATTGCATGACATCATGCAGGGTTAAAAATTATATCATATCAAAAAGCCATAACTCTTCCTAATTAGTAAATTATTATTAATAACCTATTAATAACATGTTACTCATTTTGTGTATACTGCAAACTTTCAAAAAATAAAAAGATGTGTGGAGACAGGTGTGTGTAACACACTTGTCAAATGAGTTTTAAACTAGCATCAAATAATAGTCCTGTTTATCGGGGCGGTGGGGTAGCCTAACGGTTAAAGTGTTTGCTCGTCATGTCGAAGAACCGGGTTTGATTCCCCACATGGGTACAATGTGTGAAGCCCATTTCTGGTGTCCCTCGCACTGATATTGGTGGGATATTGCTAAAGTAGTATAAAACTAAACTCACTCACTCGCTCTTCTGTTTATCATGAACATATTATGTTATGTCTTAATAACCACTGGTAGGTACAGCATAAAAGAGTCCACAGTAATGCCACTGTCCCTCTTTCTGTCGACAGTTGCATCTTCATCTGTCCATTGTATTCTTTAACTAGACAGTGGAAGCCCTCTAAACCAGCAGCCCTCCAATCCGGCATGCTCTCAATATCGGCACTAGAATTTGATCCTGGCAGAAACTAGTTAATTTATGGTCAGTGTTAGCCGATACGCTGTGCAGCTAATGCGCTTCTAAACGCTGCATGCATCGCAGTACCGGTGCAGCTTAGCGAGAGAGGTGCTTCCCTACATTCAAAATCCGGCATGTCATTCTGCAAGGTAACAGAAAAACTTGTCTGCTCTTCTGTGACCAATAGGGACAGTTTTTAAATACAATTCAAAATCATTGCATGGAATACTACAGTTGCCAAAAGTGTGGCTAGTATCGGTCATGTGTTTATATTGCCTATATTGAATGAAGCCACCAGCATTTGAAGCTTGCAAACTTTGCTGAACAACGCGGCCATCATTCTCAGGTTGAAAAGGGAAAAGTTCTCTACATGCCGGTTTAGAGGGCTTCCACTGTATATATGTCTACATCTCTACAGTCAGGCAGTCTGGTATTCCAGCTGCACCTGTATTTACAGTAAGACAAACCTGCTTGTTTCATCATAGCAGAGTTGGAATCACAGCTTGACGCATTTCTCTGTTAGTAATTGTAATTTGAGTATTGGATAACCAACTCAAGTTTGCACTCAGAATAATTTTCGTCATAATTTGGAGATAGTTTCCCATCAACATATACGCGTTGACAACACACACCCTTCTTGCCTGCCAAACTATCCACCTCCTGTGGGAGCAGCATCTCTCTGGAGCAAGGGAGGTAACTAATAACATAGCCACTAATGATGAGTGAGTGAGTTTAGTTTTGTGCCGCACTCAGCAATATTCCAGCTATATGGCAGTGGCCTGTAAATAATTGGTCTGGACCAGACAATCCAGTGATCAAACATCATGAGCATCAATCTACACAATATGGATATGATGACTTGTGTCTACAAAGTCAGTGAGCCTGACCACCTGATCCCGTTAGTCGCCTCTTACGACAAGCATGGTTTACTGAAGATCAATTCTAACCTGGATCTTCACGGGTCCACAAATGATGAACTTGGTTGGAATTGCTGAGTCATGTCTATGCACAGTACCATCAAAGTGAATTTGACATCCTACTGTGCTGATTTCAGTTGATTACAGGATTTGCTACACATGTAAACTGTCAACTGCTCACTGACAGATATTTTGAAACTCTTTTGATGTTTACAATCAATTTAATTTTGTCTGGTTACTTTCCTGCCAGGTTTGTTTGAAGTTACTAATACAAATTGTAGTGAAAATAATAAAATTCAATATGTAGTTTAAAAATTCAAGGTAAAATGATAAAGTAAAATTTCCAGTTCTCACAAGAATAATCATTACACAGGGAGACAAGAATGTGATTGTCAATCGAAAAAGAAATAATCATTACATTTGTAATTCTTTAAGAATGTTACACTTTGCAGAAGGACTCATAGTCTACACTTTAAAATGGTGCACCACTCATGGTGATCCACTCAATTCCCACACAGAATATGTTTTGTGACCTCAACACATGGGACATGTATTTTAATAACTTGTTTTCATTCTAGAAATGCTTGAGGCACCAACTTAAAAAAATGTAGCTTTAAAACAACCCCCTTACTTGCTTAAACCATAAACATTTAAAACAAAGGATTTTAACTTATTTCTAATTGTTGAATAAAAGATATCCTTCTTTCAACAAATGAGCCCTGATCGAAAACTGGTCGAACGAAACAAGCAGAAGAGAGCAGCCAGTCCATGCGATCGAAATCGGAAATTGGGAACAAGAAGCCTTGCTTTATCCACACCCACTGCCCTTGCTAGAAGCCGAAACGATCGTTGAACCGCACAGAACCGTGTGCTTGTATAAGTGTTTCGCTATAGTTGTAAAGACAGCGAATAATATATCCAAAGACACCTAGCTAACCACTGCATACATTAGCAGGAAAGGGAAGTCGACATTTTCTCCATTCTACGTGACCTGTCGAAAACAGCGAACCTGCCGAAAGCAAACTGAGAAATAACCTCGATATTCTGGACGCTTAATGATTACCAACCGTTACAGTATGTACTAATGAATCTTACTGATGACACCAGACATGTGAACACTCACCAATTTGAAAACAATCGTTACTTTTTCCCAGGGCTTTGTTTTCAGGAACACATATAAGACCCAAGGGACATAACTCTTCATAATTAATATTCGACCGGAAAATGAGTACAGCATTAGACAATTAAGATCGAATCCCGGTAGTTGATGTTTGTTTTTCTTCAGTTCAAAATTATTATAGGGCAAAACTTGATTATGATTATGTGAAAAATATACATTTTAATATTTTAATTTAAAATGATGTATTGATATAGGGATAATTGTGAGAGGTTTTAAACTGTTAGTTTCAGCAGTTATTTTGCTTTCTTTACTTTTTCTGATTATTACATTATCTGTTTTGAAGGGCTAATGCATTGGGATTATGGTTCCAATGTAAATGGCTTTTTTTTGAAATATGCAGGTGCTTCATAGGGTCTTTGAAATGAAACTTTGATTCAGCAAGGTACTTAATGTCAAATATACATTGGGTACAATGTGTGAAGCCCATTTCTGGTGTCCCCCACCGCAATATTGCTGGAATATTGCTAAAAGTGGCGTAAAACTATACTCACTCAATCACTCTAATATACATTCCTAAACCTGTGTGAAGCAACCTAAACTCTGACTATCATGGTTACTTCAGCTTCATGAATTTAGGTGTTAATGGGGAGAGGCAGGACAAGTGAAATTGAGTTTTATGAAAATTCAAGAATATTTTGTTTGCTGCTCTTAGACATGACCACTAGAATGTTAGTCCGATACAGGTGAAAATCTAATTGTTTGCCTCTAAAAAAGTATTCAGCTTCAACAAAAATGGAAGTCTGACAGCTGGTTGTCTAGATCATGTTCTTCCTGTGGGATGGCTCCACGCCCTCCTACACAAAGCCTTTTTGAAAGTGGTCCAATGTAACAAATTTTATATTGGGGATAACACATTCTCAGTTGTCGGACTAAGATGTTTTGTGGAAGCCTTGCTGGCTGAATCAAATTGCTTACTTCAGGGTTGCATTAAGATCACATTTAAATGTCATCATGAATATCATGAATCATTTAAATGGTTGTATGTTTAAGAAATACAGTTATATTTAATGTTTTAAACATATTTTATTCATTCAAGAAAAGGATTGGGCACAAGTTATCCAACTTAGAAAAGCCCTCTCCAGTTTTATTTAATTACAGGGTTCCTTTGTAATCTAAAATGTTATAGTTATGTTTAAAGTTTTACATATATATTCTAAAAAACAAAGATATTTTTTTTGACGCCTTCCTTTGAACCAAAGGTTACACCACAATTGTTACACCACAATTACCTGTTTGAAATATCCAGTAACAAATAACTGATATAGTCAACATATTATTTAGTTTAATTGACTTGATTTCTGTTTTTGCATTTTGGGACAAATGCTTGGAGGTCTTTCCATATTTCACCAAGAGTTTAGAAGAACGTAATGAATTTTAACCAACATTTATGAATATTGGTTTTGTCCGGTTTTCAAGAACGATTCGTTTTTTATACCTACTGAAATCACATGACAATATCAGGGACAAAATGGCGCTGCCCATGTCGACGAGGAGCGTACGATTAGTTAATAGGTGATATGTGTTAACAGTCGCATAACAGCCATGGTTCGGGTATTCGACTGCCACAGTTTCAAGTCAAAGAAAGTCATTCCCATCCAGGATGAACCACTGGCGATATGTGCAGACGAGAAGCACGTTTTCGTGGCGACGAGACGATGCACTGTTGTTGTTTTCGCAATAACGGAAGAGGGCTGCCGGGAGACGAGGCGTTTTGAGACCGTGTCCTTGGTGGAACAGCTGCTCTACAACCCCGCCAGTAATGAAATATTTTACTGTATCATTTTAAAGCAATATAATCAAATATGATGTCTGTGATTGTTAGGTGTCAAATACAAGCAAAACTGATGATCCAGCTAAAACCATCCGCCAGAGGCAGATCACTAAGAGATAATTGTTATCATAGATGTGTCACGTATTACCATGATTCGATTATGTCAGTGTGTTAGTGTGTTAGAAAGAATGGCTATTTGAGAAGTGACTGACATCTTTTTTAACACATTATTAACTCAGGAATATCTCTCTGTGTCTTCTGCTGCAGGTTATCAATGCCAATATCTCAAGACCAAACACTAGTTTACATTAAACAAGTTGTGAATTTTGTAGATGCATATGTTTCTTTTTATCTGATTTTGTCAACATTTGATTCATCATTCTTCAGTATCGTTTAGAATACTAGAAAGTATCTTACAAGTATTTTGGATTTCAAATCATCCACCCAGAAAATGACACCTGTAAGGACTAGTCATTTTTAAATTTCCATTCCTATTATCAAACAGCAGATCCTGTTGCTTTTTCTGGTTTTCCTTTTACATCTTTAGGGCAGTTTTTATTTATTCTTTTGGCAAATAAAATATTTTTGGGTTAAAATAATTTATGTATAAGTGACCAGTTCATTATATATATGTTGATGTTTTGATGTTTTGCTGTTTTGCCCCCATCGAATCTGGTCAGCATTTTTCAAAGAACACTTTGGTTTGGGTTTTCAGTGATAACAATCCAGCATTGACTGGATAACACAAGTAGATTCATAGTTGCCTTCGAAATAATGTTAAATACCTGCTCATTTCAGACATGCTATCCATAGTATTTTCTTGTGTTTGACAATGTTTAACTTATCCATGTTGGCTTGGACATAAAATATTCAAAGTGAGAGGTTTGATTTGGAAACACAAATTATGTCAAAGTAAAAGTGTGACTTTTTGCCCTTTCTCTGGTATTTCTTGTACACACCAGATAAGTCTCTTTTAATTGTGTTTCCCCTTGCATTTCAGAAAACTATTTAATCACAGTCGAGTTCAAGAAATCTTGGAAGAATTTAACCAAATATATCCGTGTCTATTTAAACTGGGATTGTGAAATTCCTCAAGGTTCTAAAATCAAAACTAAAGTACGCATTGCTGGCAAATCCCACTCATCCCTCATCTCTTCCACTCAGAACTATCTGGATGTGGTGGAAATTCCAGTAGATCGGAAAATTGCTGACATATCAGTGTGTTCACAAACAGGGAACTTTGCTGTGGCAATAGATCGAGAAGTCAAGGTTTTCCACCTAGTGGACAAGACTGTGCCAAGCTCGGGAAAAACTTATCGAGATGTGGAGATCTTTCTGGAGCTTTGCTGGAATTTCAAGCTGGTGACTCTGTCATTGTGCGAGGATTATGTCGTGTGTTTGTCACAGAATGAGTTTCAGGCTGTTAGACTGGAGTACACTGATTCAGATTCAGAGTCGTCTCGTCTTAGCCAAATAAAGTTAGAGAGAAGGAGGTATGTATATTAACTGTTACAGATTAGTATATTATTCAAGACTGGTATTTGAATTCAAACTATGTCCTTAGCTGGTAGGCATGCCTTCCTAAATTTGAAAATTGTTTTAGAAGTTGTTATGTTCTCAACATTGAGCATGTTGAGAGGTCTCAGAGGCAAAGAGGTCTTAGTTTCATAGCCTTTTTCTTATCGCTGCCAAGATTGATTAACTTATAAATGTGCTTTCATCAGTGAGTGACCTCCAGTAAAAGGACAAAAAGAAATACATTTCAAGTATCCTCTGAGGTTTTCTCATGAATGTGATTAACTTTAAAAGGACGCACTTCAGGAGTGCCCTGTGCTCTGTGACACACTGAAACACAGTCATTTCTATTTCTGGGGATGTCAGTGTTGTCAGAAGAATGATGAATGGCCTTTCAGGAGTAAGTAAAAACCATCACTACAAATGGTGTCATAAAGTTTGTTGAAGTCAGACCCATGAAGGTCCGGGTTATGATGAACCTCAGTAACCCATGCTTGTTGTAAGAGGCGTCCAACGGGATCGGGTGGTCAGACTCGCTGACTTGGTTGACACATGTCATCGGTTCCCAGTTGCGCAGATCGATGCTCATGCTGTTGATCACTGGATTGTCTGGTCCAGACTCGATTATTTACAGACTGCGGCCATATAGCTGGAATATTGCTGAGTGCGGCTTAAAACTAAACTCACTCCTCGCTTGTTGAAGTCAGATGATAACAATGAACCAAATGACGGGGACAAGACATGATACTGACATCACCGACATGCAGAGGGTAATGGCTCCACTGACAAATTCATTCAGTTTAATCTTGAGTAATGACAATCTCAACACTCAACAATTATCCATGTTTTCTGTCCGATCCAAATTGTCTTTCCATGTGAAATAAGTTGTGTAAAAGTAAAATTCAAAATACTGAGGGGGAAGTACATAATTATTAATTATTAAGCTTGTAAATTGTGTCAATGTCATAAGTAAATACACTGCAAATTGAGACATATAACTGACAGATAATAGTTTATAGGAAAGATCATGAAATCTTTTTTTTGTCTTAAATGATAATGTGAAAATAATTTTTCATTTTACTTATATATAATCTGAATATGTTTACTTGGCAGTACAGTTATAGTGCACAGACTTACTGAAATGTGTGTCCATTGTTAAGAACAAGTTAAACCTGCATCTGTGATTTAACAAAAGAGCAATGTTATGAATAATGATGAAAACAATAGTTGCCACAAATTCGAAATTACGAATGCTTCATAGCACATCCCTGCCTGCCAGCAGCACGAGGGACCTGACTTGAGCCTCACAGCTGGTGGGACAGGTAGGAGACAGTTGGGTTTTGTTCTCCAGCAACGATAAATCGATGCTAACTCCTGGATCAGTTCACATTGCTCTTGGGCTCTCAAGTTACCTGTCCCTGATTTTCTTTAGCCTGTTTGATTTGTTTCGCTGCTTAGTCCAACAGACCAATCAGGATGCAAACTAGCCCGAGTGTTCAGTTGGAGATTTCAACAACATGACATTAAAATACACAATGCCATTTTAGAAAGTGGTCAAATGTAACCTATGTTACACAAAGTCCGCAGTCTAGACTACCAGTTGTCCTACTTCCATTGTTTGTGGAAGCCGCGGTGGCTGAGCGGTCTAGGCGTCTGACTTTGTGTGCTGGTGATTAGGTGCCTGACTCTGGGGGTGTGTGTTCGAATCTCGCATGGGATTCAACCCAACAAAAGTACTAGAATCTGTACTTTACAAAAAAAAGTGTAATCCCAAATATAACATGAGTCCTATTGATTGCAACAAAATTTGTGAGAAATTCAACATTAGAACAATGTCTGATGCACTGAGGAAAATCTTAAAAAATCTGTTTGATTGAAACTAATGAAAGGATGTCTTCATGTCTGAACATGGGTTGAAGTTGAACAGTTGGGGAGGTCTCAGTCATTATAGAGTGAAAATGTATTCCACTTGGTGGGTTGTGTCTTGTACCTGCCCCAACCAGAGAGTTGCTCTTGAGTGCTTGGCTCTGAAACATGTGAAAAGTGGTATGTATTTTGAATTATGATGTTGAAAACCTGAATCTTTGTTCAGGGGTTGGAGGTTCTATGTTGTTAGGTTCATTCTGGAAGTTTAATCATGGCATCTAAATGAATGGACCATAAGAATACACCTGTGCGCTTCGGTACCTTTGAACTATTTGTACTGTTTGTCAGGTCAGAGGACAGAGATGGTCAAGGTCATGTTTATCGCACCACCCCTTCACCAGGCTCATCATACCACACCCAAAGTCGCCTCTCTTCATTGGCTGACGTAGATGAGATATTTGAAAGTGATCCACCAATCATCAATCAGATTGAGTACTCATCCATTGGTCAGAACAGATCAACCAATCACAGCCCCAACATTCACGACACGTCCGACCTGTCCAGCAGCTATTCCTCCTCTACCAGGATCTCAGACGATGACTATTTCCAGGCATGGAGGTTTGACGGGGAGGACTCTGAGACAGGCGAGATATCTATTCATCTACCAGGCCTCCAGGGAACCTCCAAGTCTCTCGGCCACAAATCATCACCACCTGTATTACAGGACCTTAGAGGTGAGAATTTAGCTGAAACGGGGCACTGATGCACTGTTGTACAAAATAATGTGCTTCAGTCTGTTTTGATGGTTCATTTTAAGAAATAGTTTAAATGACGTTTTAACCTGATGTTCAAGCTTCTGTTGTTAAGTTCTTTACTCATATCAGATTTGTCCTGTAGACAGCAAAGGTGAGGCCATATCAACAGGAAATGGTGATCTAAAATTGTGTCATGATCTTATGTTAGAGTTACAAGACCTTTCACTTGCAGTATTTGAATGTGTTGTAGCAAGGTTCCTTTGAACCATCAGCTGGCACAGTCTGTCTTGGAATCATGTGACAGGTACTGTGACACTAGTCCTGTTGTCTGTCGGAACACAAATATGTCCGCTTGTATTGCAGGTGGCCCGCTTCAAGTCCTCGGGAGGAGTGAAGGCCATCACACTGCTACACTTCAGCGATGCTGGGATGCGAGAGGACTGGCAACAAGTCTCTGTTATTCCTGCATACCTGCCAGGTAACTTACACCATTCTTCTACCTGAGGATTCTTGGAAGGAAAGAATACTGAACATGTTTAGAAGAACTACAGTTGCAGTGAATGTAACAGTATATCCTGTCGGCTACCTATCGTGATATATTGCAGATATATCCAGGAACATATCTTGTATATCATGGTATATTTCAGTTATACTCAGGAAGGTCTATTGTATGTTATGGTATATTGCAGGTATATCCAGGAAGGTATCTTGTATATCATGGTATATTTCAGTTATACTCAGGAAGGTCTATTGTATGTTATTGTATATTGCAGGTATATCCTGGACCATATTTTGTATATCTTGGTATATTTCAGTTATACTCAGGAGGGTCTATTGTATGTTATGGTATATTGCAGGTATATCCTGGACCATATTTTGTATATCATGGTATATTTCAGTTATACTCAGGAGGGTCTATTGTATGTTATGGTATATTGCAGATATATCCTGGACCATATTTTGTATATCATGGTATATTTCAGTTATACTCAGGGAGGCCTATTGTATGTTATGGTATATTGCAGGTATATCCTGGACCATATTTTGTATATCATGGTATATTTCAGTTATACCCAGGAGGGTCTATTGTATATTATTGTATATTGCAGGTATATCCAGGAAGGTATCTTGTATATCATGGTATATTTCAGTTATACTCAGGAAGGTCTATTGTATGTTATGGTATATTGCAGGTATATCCAGGAAGGTATCTTGTATATCATGGTATATTTCAGTTATACTCAGGAAGGTCTATTGTATGTTATTGTATATTGCAGGTATATCCTGGACCATATCTTGTATATCATGGTATATTTCAGTTATACTCAGGAAGGTCTATTGTATGTTATTGTATATTGCAGGTATATCCTGGACCATATCTTGTATATCATGGTATATTTCAGTTATACTCAGGAGGGTCTATTGTATGTTATTGTATATTGCAGGTATATCCTGGACCATATTTTGTATATCATGGTATATTTCAGTTATACTCAGGAGGGTCTATTGTATGTTATGGTATATTGCAGATATATCCAGGAAGGTATCTTGTATATCATGGTATATTTCAGTTATACTCAGGAGGGTCTATTGTATATTATGGTATATTGCAGGTATATCCTGGACCATATTTTGTATATCATGGTATATTTCAGTTATACTCAGGGAGGCCTATTGTATGTTATGGTATATTGCAGTTATATGCAGGAGGGTCCATTATATATTGTGGTATATTGAAAGTATATCATGTTACTTTCCATATCATGGTATATTGCAGGTATATCCAGGAAGGTGGAGTCTGGGAGTACCTCTTCACCTGTCATGTCTCCTCGGTATCGCAATATGGCGTCTGTGTGCTGCTTTGTCAGTGGGGGTCGGGGAGGGTGCCTGTACTCTCTCTACCCTCGGGTAAAACTCATCAACTGCTACAGATACACAACAAGTGCTGTCAAGGTATGTCCTAAAGATAGATAGATCTGTGAACCAGTGTGCTCAATACAAGGTATGTCCCAGAGATAGGTAGATCTAGGACCAGTGCTGTCAAGGTATGTCCCAGAGATAGGTAGATCTGTGAACCAGTGTGCTCAATACAAGGTATGTCCAAGAGATAGGTAGATCTAGGACCAGTGCTGTCAAGGTATGTCCCAGAGATAGGTAGATCTGTGAACCAGTGTGCTCAATACAAGGTATATCCCAGAGATAGGTAGATCTAGGACCAGTGCTGTCAAGGTATGTCCCAGAGATAGGTAGATCTGTGAACCAGTGTGCTCAATACAAGGTATGTCCCAGAGATAGGTAGATCTAGGACCAGTGCTGTCAAGGTATGTCCCAGAGATAGGTAGATCTGTGAACCAGTGTGCTCAATACAAGGTATGTCCCAGAGATAGGTAGATCTAGGACCAGTGCTGTCAAGGTATGTCCCAGAGTTAGGTAGATCTGTGAACCAGTGTGCTCAATACAAGGTATATCCCAGACATAGGTAGATCTAGGACCAATGCTGTCAAGGTATGTCGTAGAGATAGGTAGATCTGTGAACCAGTGCTGCCAAGGGCTCTCTGAGAGTTACGTAGATATAGGACCAGTGTAACCAAGGTATGTCCCAGATATAAATAGACATAGTACCCTCATTCTGTGTTTACTATTGCCAGATTATCCCCTGCAATGGCCTGCTACATGTTGCCACGAAGACGGGCGTGGAGACGTACACGGCCCGGGACAGCACCGTAGCCATCCACCAGACAGAGGAGTACGACTTCATCACCAAGGTCAGAGCAGATCATAGATAGCTAACTCAATATCTTACCCTCATGTACCATTCACTTTGTTATAGACAGTTTGCAGTGAAAACGTACCGATGAATTTCACTTTAAACAAAAAACAACTCGAATAAAGTGAAATTAATATTGCGAATCCTCATAACTTTACCTTTCCAATTGAACATTTAAATCTCAGAATTTTATTCAACCTAGGATAAAAGTTGTTTAACAAACGATCATAGTTTCAAATCGCTATTATTGGTTTGTATTACAAAGTGGAATGCACATTAAATGAAACACCGAGAACAAGTAGGGTTGGGCTTAGTTAATGCTCATCATGTACCACACATGCATGTGTTTCACTGTTCCAACTACTGCGCTTACCCCCTTGTAATACAAACCAATAATAGCGATTTGAATCTATGATCGTTTGTTAAACAACTTTCATGAATAAAATTCTGAGATTTAAATGTTCAGTTGGCAAGGTAAAATTATGAGGATTCATTTCACTTTATTTGATTTCCTTTTTTGCTTAAAGTAAAATTCATCGGTACGTTTTCACTGCAATGTCAAACAGACTATAGCTGTTTGTGCTGTAATATCGTTTGTTATTACCAGATATTGTTTGATGCAAGCCTATCATGATATAAAATATATACTATGGCAACACATGAGATGTATTCATTATTCTTAGTCTAAAGAACATCTGCAACAGTATTTGTCTGAAAGGAAGATTTAAGGATTCTGGATAAACTATCGAGATTTCAGTGTATATAAACTGGTCATCTCAGGTGCTTTAGTTTGTGTGGTGGTTCCCTTAGTGCTTGCAGGTAAAGGGTTTGAATCCCAGACTGATCCTGCTCCTTGCCAGCAGCTCCCAGTATCTGAAGGTTTCAGCAAGGTGGTCAGTGGAGCGGCAGCACTAAGGGCTCAACAAAGTCCTCGCTCAGCTGACACAGAATGATATACAGTGAGACCCCGGATACCCGGACCCAAAATATCCAGACAGCTCGATTTCTGGTCAATTTTCATGACAAACCAATGTCTTACGTTATAAAAGTGACTGTCTATAACGGATATGCGGTTTCCATCCCGGACGGTAAATTTTACAAACCAACCGGCTACATCAACACAAAATTGACTCACTTATCAGCACAAGGCTTTGATCTTCCACTGACCGTGTGAAGTCAAGTTCTGTTAATCCGGATTAATGACCGATCAGCAGGATATTGGTGTTGATTAGTTGGCCTATCTGACACAGAGTGAATTGTAATTGGCAAATCAAAACGACCATGCTGTTTTGGAAGTGATTTTAAACCAGAAGTGTATGCTCGCTACCGTTTCAACACCACAGCCTGGATGACAGAAATCCAGATATCCAGATATTAAGTTGTCCGGACGATTTACGCAAAAACGAATGTGTCCAGATATCCGGGTTCTCACTGTAATGGGACATGTTCAAAATGTTGTCATGCCGAACACACTTCCACAAACCTTAACTCATCTCAATGTGAAGGAGTGGGTGAAACCGGTTTGACAAAAAGTTTGGTGATGCACCTATTCCATGGAACTTAAAGCTTTGACATGAGAACTGAACCCTTTAACCCTTTAAAAATGTCTTCTGGTTGTAAGATCATGTCATGGTAAGTCATCTCACATTTCAGGCATCTCCTCCCACTGAACTTGACGTCTGCCTCATCGGGATCCAGCCATTCATCGGCACCAGAGATATCACTGTGACTAACGACCACCTGATCCTACTGACTAAGGTAGAGGACCCCCACAGGTGAGAGTTAGCAAGTGGTTGTAACAGAGCTGACAATAAGAACAACAATAAATTGTTATACAATGCAGAATACTTCTATGTCAGATCACCTGATGTAACTGTGGCTGTTTTAGTGAGGACATGATGTGGAGCCTGTACGCCCTGCAGATGTGTCCTGCTGTGGATCTGTACCGAGACATGGTGAGTTGGTGGGGCAGGCCACGTGGTCTCCTTCAGACTGGATGATGAGTTGGAGTTATGTGTCTTACAACTCCATCCTTACCTCAACCAGATTCAAACCCCATCCTAGATTCAAACCCCATCCTAACCTAATCATGCCAAACTCCCTACCCAACTTGAACCTCAACCAGGATCTGAACTGCATCCTAACCTCATTCCATATCCTCACCCCATCCTAACCTCATTCCATATCCTCACCCCATCCTAACCTCATTCCATATCCTTACATCATCCTTACCTCATTTCATATCCTCACCCCATCCTAACCAGTTAAACCTCATTCCATATCCTTACACCATCCTAACCTCATTCCATATCCTCACCCCATCCTAACCTCATTCCATATCCTCACCCTATCCTAACCTCATTCCATATCCTCACCCCATCCTAACCTCATTCCATATCCTCACCCATCCTAACCTCATTCCATATCCTCACCCCATCCTAACTTCATTCCATATCCTTACATCATCCTAACCTCATTCCATATCCTCACCCCATCCTAACCTCATTCCATATCCTCACCACATTCTAACCTCATTCCATATCCTCACCCCATCCTAACCTCATTCCATATCCTCACCCCATCCTAACCTCATTCCATATCCTCACCCCATCCTAACCTCATTCCATATCCTCACCCCATCCTAACCTCATTCCATATCCTCACCCCATCCTAACCTCATTCCATATCCTCACCTCATTCAGCCTAACTTCATCTAAATCTTGTCCCAAACCCAAAACCGCATCTTAGTTCTGTTAATGTTGACAACTTTACTGTATTTATCTCTCATGTAGGCCGGAGTGTCTTTTAATCTATGTTTTTGTAGTTGGTTTATTAAATGTCTAAACAAATGCAGTTCAGGTAGGGGAATTATTATGTTGTTTTGGAGAATCCATAAAACAAATAACAAGGGTTTGAGGAGGTACACAGTGTGGCCGACATCATAACAAGTAAAGCCTCATGGGATGCATGGCATAAACATTATGCAGAACTAACTGTACAGAGCTGTGACTATGACACCAAACCACGACTTTGTTGCAGGTGAGTTTTGGCTGCAAGGTGATGGAGACGGGTCCGTCCAGCTACGCCCACATGCTGCAGGAGGCGCACCTCCATGTGAAGAGGGCGATGATGTTCACCAGCAGCCCTGATGCCCTTGTGGAGGAGAACATCCTGGAATCTGCTGCCTTGCTGGGAGAGTACTACTCACTGTGAGTGTAGCTCAACATACACGCTTGATATTCGATCCACTGATTGACACTGATCCCTTGATCCATGCTATCAGGGTGAGATAACATGCCGTCAACAATGTGACAGAGCCTGACTACCTCTCCGAGTTGTCGCCTCGTACATCAGTCCGAGGATGCTGCTGGCTTTATCTGGAAATATGCTCATGTTTTCAACAGGGATTTACAGGACGCGAATTCCTGTGTCCTATACTCACAAAAATTGACAATGGACACAACGGAATTTATTAGCGCATCCACCGGGATGCAGGAAAGTTCAAATACTTTTGTAAATATTCCAATCAAGAAACAATAAGTTATCACCGAGTTTGCTACTAGCTGGGTTATGGTATCATTTGCAATTTCATTAACATAACAATTAATGTGTTGATCATGATACACAATACCATAACAGTATTAATAATAATATTTAAGTGTCTGGGACCCCCATTTTGTTGTCGAGGGCCCCTGAAAAGTATGAATATGAGTCCCAGGGACCATCAAATACAGGACTCAAGGTAAATCCCTGCTTCAACATTCATGGCACTGTGTGTTTTGTTTTCAGACCCAATGAGGAAGACTGGCGTTTGTGTTTGCCATACTACGTCATGTCCCACTTAAGTCTGGATGACATCATCAGGCAGGCTGTCCAACACAAGCAACACAAGAAACAGGTGAGACCATGTGTATTGGATGCACATGAATATTAGTGAGTAGGTTTTTTTAATTCCACTTGCCGTATTCTAGGAATTTCACAAGTGGAAACATCAGAATATGCTTCACAAACTGTTCCCATTTAAGGAATCAAATCCAGGCCTTCAGCTTGCTGATCAACGCCAGAATGGGCTGCACACATTGTACCAGATATGCCAACCACTCCGATTTTGGCGGTGTTACTCCGATTTTCAAATACAAAATCTGCTCTCCGATTTTTTATAAAAAATTCTGAATTTATTTACACGGTATTCAATTTCGTAAGTCACCGTGATTTATTTGAGTGAATACTGGTAAAAGCATTCAGAAGCTTAGTGTGTGATCCTTTGGGTGTCGATTGTGTATAGTGCGTGTTATTGACGATGAAGTTTCACAAAGTTTTTCCGAATGCATGTCATAGTCCGTATGAAAGTGAAACAAAATGGCAGAGCCGACCATGAGCTCACCCCCAACTCGCACCTTTGGTGCTCAGGCCTGGCTTTCAGCCAGTCATGACTCCGTTTTCCTTAGATTCAGGGTTGGCATCTCTGTTGTACCCATATATATGGAATAAAACCAATGCCTTCATCCTGCTAAGTAAATGATTTAACCACCCAGCTACATCACGGGGTCCCGGTAAAGCAACACGCAATAACTGGAACACAGGCATGTTGCTCAATGTCTTTGTCAGAGCCATTCTCGACATTCAGGGGAATAATACACGGTCTGGTTTCTCATATTTTTATCCTCTGCTGTTTCATGATAGAGAAGGTACACTGTGATACATGAGTGATACATTCCGAGTATCCTTCACCGTATTCACCACCATAGGCTAGTTCTGTGAGTTTCATTACCATCTCTAGCTATGGTATAACTTAGTAACTAATTTTATTAGATGGCAGTATATAGCTACATGTAAAAAGTATTTTGGGTTCAAAATTAAGCCATTGTAACAAACAGGTACAGAGTATTTATCATGACATTTGAGATATAACACCCTGGACAACTGAGGGTTAAGACAATAAGTTACATGATATACACCTAGGGCACATATGGAGGGTGGGTTATATGAGTTATATCACAGCTATGTGGTTTTAGACAATAATGGTTTAGGTAGTTTTCTCAGCAGGATTAAGACAATGGATGAAACCAGTCTAGGTGTGTTACGAAAGGTAAAACAATGAATGTCTGTTCTTAATGCAGAATATTTTCCATCCAAAAACACTTGCACATGATAACTTCCTCCCAGGGTTCTCACTTCACGTACGGCAAGGGGCTCCTCTACTACCTCAACTACATCCTGTTCCTGGACGACGACCCCGTGGCCATCAAGGAGGTAAGTGACAGATTCAAGGGATGGAGCTTGTCTGATAATCGGTGGTTCAATGCCCAGCCTGCATCAAATCTGAGGGCAGTAAAAGATGGTACTTGTTGTTACTCTGCCTGGTGCTCAGCATCAAGGGGAGATAACCCGTGAATACTGTGTGTCTTACACTGACTGCAGCATGGTGTCTCAGCGGGTTAGCAGCATGCTGCTCTATCAGTGCCAAAGTCTTGAACACAGCCTCTCTCTATCTCACCTCTCCTCTTTCAGGTATTGAATTTGTCTTTAAAATCTCATGTAAATTGCAAAACAATAATACATCTCTTTTACAGTTTGAAATAATCTATTAAAATCTTTAAAAGAACTGTAATACTTTTGTACACAGAGATTCAATTCAGCGTTAAAGGCTACTTTGCAATTGGATCACAGAGTGGTGTTTTGTTTCTTAAATTCAGCATCTGTTTCAGTGTACTACAATGTATTAGTAATGGGTCTGCCTGGTTTCTTGTGTGTAGTGCACACTCTTTTCAGACTTTCATGCATTATTCTTCCAAAACTCAATACTCTACAGACTGTGTGACATCATCAGTCACCATGACATCACAAACAAATGACATCAACAATGCCCCTGTCACAAAGCTGGGTGAGATACTCTGTACAGCAGTGTCTGGGATCAGTAACTGAAGTGGGGCATGGTTTCATACTACCTTCCCATTATGTTTGCTGTTCCAGAGCTGTGGCAATGAGGTGTTGCACATCTACCACGAGACGGAGCCGGAGCGACTCTCCCACATCCTGCTCATCTCCCGACTACACACATTCAGCCCAGGTGATGATGCACTGGTTGTATAGATGGGTACCTGGAAGTATGGGAGGGAATTAAAACTTGTAGTGTCTAGTATTGGCCATATTGTGTATGACCCACGAAGGTCCGGGTAAGAATGAGCCTTCAGTAACCCATGCTTGTCGTAAGAGGCGACTCATGGGATTGGGTGGTCAGGCTCGCTGACTTGGTTGACACGTGTCATTGGTTCCCAATTGCGCAGATCGATGCTCATGCTGTTGATCACTTGATTGTTTGGTCCAGACTCGATTATTTACAGACCGCCGCCATATAGCTGGAATATTGCTGACAAGTATAATAACGCCGACAAGTATGTAAGTATTCAATTGAAGATTGGGAATAGATGGATTTACTGTGTGAAAGACTGGCGAAATGACCAAGGGAGATCACCCACAGATTGTGTGTGTCACAGTTGAGTAATATAATCCAGAGTACTTTCAGAAAAAATATTTTTCATCCAACAAATTCCTACTTGAAGTGCAAGGGTTGCACAGATTGGTATCTGTTTAAAAGGGTACCAGTAAGTAGAAATTCTTAAGAAAGTGGTGTGGTTTGAGTGGTAAGGTCGGGCAGAACTTTCCTTTCTAAGGCTGTTATCAATTCTAAAATTGCATAAACAGTGCGTTAAAACATTTTGCTAATTTGGTGATTTGTCAAGTCGAGAAGGGTCTCTCACTGCGGAACTTAAGCAGTCAGGGCGATTACATGAATGTAGATATCACTTGATAAATGAGGATGCAGCATGGCTGGTTGTGATGTAACTGAAATACAGTTCCCAGTGGAGTGTGTTCACAACGCAATCACTGACCCAGAAACATGTGTGACAGCCATGGCAAGTCCTGTTCAATTCCATCAATCACAAATTTTCTTTCAACAGAAACTGCGATGGACTTGTTAAAGAAATGGATGGGCCATAACAGACAAAGGGAAGAAAATGCAAGGTGAATCTCACATCTCACTGCTGCCATTGCAGACAACACAGTGTATATACTATCTCATACTGGTAAACTATACTATATATCTCATACTGGTATAATACTATATATTCAGCCACTATACTATATATCTCACTGGTGGAGTCCAAACATGAATTGATACTAAGCACAGGTGGAGTATATTGACGGGTATTGATATATTTGGTTTGCATTCCAATTGGTGAATAAAAAAGATAAAGTGCATTTTTGGTGGATACAAACTTCTTGTTTATTACTTATAGCATCATGTTGCTGTAGATTCTTGTTATCTTGAGTGACTGCAACCAACTGATGACAAGTATATGTACATGATATGTTGTTATATGCAGCTGATTAACATTAGTGAGTGAGTGAGTGAGTTTAGTTTTATGCCGCTTTCAGCAATATTACAGCAATATCACGACGGGGGACACCAGAAATGGGCTTCAAACATTGTACCCATGTGGGGAATCAAACCCATGTCTTTGACTTGTTGAGTTACCACTTTAACCACTAGGCTACCCCACCGTCCCTGATTAACACAAGCATGTCATAGACAACAATGTTACATCTGAACATTAATATCGGCTTTTCACAGTGACTTTGACCTCCTGGCCCTGGTGAAAGTGAACCTGAGTTTGGTGGAACCCGAGACAGCTCGTACAGCTCTCATGGCGATCCCGGAGGTGAGCAGAATCAGTCATTGGTACAGGACCATATTTGTTTATTGTTTATGGTTGACTGACTTTTGTCCGTTTTACTCTTACCTGTCTGAAAAGTTAATGTTCTGTGTTTATTTGTGTGGAGATTTTGGAGGCCACAATACATGGTAGTACTGTTTACAGTTGTTATGTGTTGATTTTGAAGTTGAAACTTAAAAGTTACCAGGGAATAAGTCCATAAAAGAACTAGGTGTGAAACCTAATAACAACACAGAAATTTGATGTGATAAACAACTGCATTCTATAATTAAGTAAGTTCACTAATGAATACATAGGTGTCACACCTTGATTGATTTGGTAAATCATAGATGAAATTTGTTTTTCTGGTGTTTTTTCAGAAAAGCTTGATTTTAATATGTGGGGTCCACCCAAATCTGGTTCACAAGGACTTTACAGAGTTCACTCCCCTTGCTCAGGTAAGTGGCAGCCCCAATGTTGGCCCCCAGGGCTTCAATTCTTGCCTCATGTTCATAGTACAAGGACAACAATCACTGTTGGAATTTGCTCACTGTTCTAATTCTAAATTTATGTTGATTTGGACTTGATTTCTTTGGATTAGAACTTTTTCAATCAAAAACCGACCAAAATGCTTGGAACTTGCTCTGAACATGGTCACCAAAAAGACCTGGTTAGTTTTGGGTTTTTAAATCATAAAATTACATTGTTCATTACCTCAGTCTAAATGAAGCTTATCTTCAGAGTTAACTTATGGATTTCAAATTTGTTATTTTACTAAATGCAATGTCTCAGCACAGATACTGTTCCCTTCATCAAGCCACTGAGAGCCTGTAACAACATCCAGTAGCAATAAACTGCGTTATACATCCTTGTAAATACCTGTGAAGATCCGGGTTAGAACTGGTCTTCAGCAACCCATGCTTGTTGTAAGAGGTGACTAATGGGATCGGGTGGTCAGGCTTGCTGGCTTGATTGATACATGTCATTGTATCCCAAGTTTGCAGATCAATCTCATGCTGCTGATGTTTGTTTGTATTGATGGTGATGATGATGCTTGCACAATGTCGATGACGAGGATGTTTTTGTATGGCGTTTTGTACAATGTATTATGACAAGAACAAATTGATAACGAGGATGTTTTGTATGACATTTTGTACAATGAATTATGACAAAAACAAATTGATAACGAGGATGTTTTGTATGACATTTTGTACAATGAATTATGACAACAACAAATTGATGACGAGGATGTTTTGTATGGCGTTTTGTACAATGTATTATGACAAGAACAAATTGATAACGAGGATGTTTTGTATGACGTTTTGTACAATGTATTATGACAAGAACAAGTTGATGACAAGGATGTTGTGTACGATGTTTTGTACAATGTATTATGACAAGAACAAGTTGATGACGAGGATGTTGTGTACGATGTTTTGTACAATGCATTATGACAACACCAAATGTACTTTGGGAAATAAAAATACTTTAAAAAATCAATAAAAAAAATCTCATGCCGCTGATGTTGAGTGTGGCGTAAAACAACAACCAACCTTATTGTAACCAGTTTCATACCCCCTCGTCATGTACCTGTTACCTGAGCAGTATAGCCTTGTCCACTCGTTGTTGATCACCTACTTGATACCTGCATCTGTATGAAGATTTACATTAGAGGAGAATAGAGGAGGTGCTTGTCTACTTTGTCTGTCTTCAGTAAGCTTGTTAAACATATATTTCCAGTTGATGCGACAACATCGTCCAAATACATTCCTTCACCTGCTGGTCGAGTTGTTTGACAGAGGTGTATTGACACTGGACACCAGCCTCAAACTGCTTCAGGTAGGTCACATTGTACAGTTGTCTGGATTTAAGAGGTTAGTGAGTATAGTGACAAGCATTACCCATAACACTCCAAGTAGGTCACGCTCTCTACTTTTATGCATAGAATGAGGTATGATAAAAAGCAATTTTGTCCCAGTGGTTAAACTTTGAAGTAATTTCATGGAGGTTATTAGATTTGATAATGTTGCTGATTACTGGAATTTGTTAGGATAAACATGATAACGTCACAGAAGCATCTAAATTCATGATTATCAGGCAGGGAGTGAATACAATAAGCTTTCTACTGGGCTTATGAGGCAGTGGATGTGTGAAAAGTGTGATGGCTTGTGACAAGAACAATGGAACATATACTGATTTCTTCTTGCTGTTACAATATCATGTGTGTTTATCACTTAATGTTTATCACTTGATGTTTATCTTTTAATTGATATGGATTATTCACAGAATAATGAAGGCAAGGATATGTCCACCAATACCCACATCAGGGACTACCTGGAGATCCTTGTTACAGGTAAGTCATCTCCCTCATTCTTTTCTGGAGGAAGTGAGCGTGGTGCTTATTGTGTCATGCCTGAGATCCCAAGTTTCCAAGATGATTTTGAGAATGACAGCCATATTGAAACTGTCATTTTTGTACATTACACAATCATTTGTGAAATTTGGTATGTAGCAGGTTTGCCTTATCTGGAACAACAAATAATTTTCAGGCATATTTTCTATCCCTTTACAACCTTTGACCTATTTTCGGGCAATGGTAGGATCTGTGCCCTTGTGGCCGTCTACTGCACATATTGTACACTTGGCTGTTAATCTCCATTTTTTATGTTTTTAGATTGGAAGAGGAAGTATATCTTTGAAGATGCTGTGGTGAGATATGAAACGACTTCTCCCTCGAAAGCTGTTAATGCAAAGGAACATCATTTTTGTTGATGTAGAAGGAAAGAATACACAAGGCTAAGAAAAGTACTTGGATCACTGGAATAAGGGAGGACCAACCATTTAGTATTCAGGGAGGGAGGCAGGCATTTTGTAAAGATTGCTTCAAAACCTGTATACACTGCACAAAACCTGTATTCACCACACAAAACATGTATAAACTGCATATATCCTGTATAAACCACACAAAACATGTAAAAACTGCATATATCCTGTATAAACCACACAAAACATGTAAAAACTGCATCTATCCTGTATAAACCACACAAAACATGTAAAACTGCATATATCCTGTATAAACCACACAAAACATTTAAAACTGCATTTATCCTATATAAACCACACAAAACATGTAAAAACTGCATTTATCCTATATAAACCACACTAAACATGTAAAAACTGCATTTATCCTATATAAACCACACAAAACCTGTATACTCTGCACCAAACGCACAAAACATTTCAAGACATGCATTTTGGTGAAACATATTTTGGTGATAAGTTATTTAAAAAAAAATTAATACTCTCTTTAATCCGCTTATTCTCATCTAAACATTTAAAACGACTGATGTTTCCACATGTTACAGAGCCTGTTGTGCTAAATGTACATCAAGCGTACCATCAGCAAGATACTACCTTCCTCACGACAACTTCTCCTATCCTCACCAGTTCCAGATGGTCAGTACAGGTCAACATGGAACTCCTTGTCGTTTTACTGTCATTAAGCCAGAAAAATCATAATAAACTTTGTTCTGGATATACTTAATAAAATCAAGAAACTTTGTTTGATATGTACTTAATAAAATCAGAAACTTGACACCTGTGGGAGGGTTGAACCCCTGTTTTGAACGTCATCCATTATTTTCCCAATAAAACGATTCCACAATCCATTTTTTCATTGTCTGTATTGTTACCTGGATGATAGCAGTGTGATACATCTCTATTTTCATAATATACACTACTTTCATCCATTTATTTTAACAAGTGTCAAGTTTTTATTGTGAATGAGTATGTAGGATATTACTTGATGACTGATCTCTGTTTCCTGTACAGCCAAGTGGTGGCCACTTCACTGGGAGATTCGTGTGGCTTGACTACCTTCCTCCGTTCACTGGACCCACGTCTATAAGTCGGCCTTGTCAGCACATCACCATCCCCAGTGGCAGTGGCGGCAAGCAGCGGTCACCGTCAGCATCCATCCCGGTCAAAGTTGTCAACAGGGCTGAATCCTTGGACGATAAATGCCCCTGTTGTTTCTGCAATGAGGATTTACTCAAGTTACAGGTGGCGTAATGTCTGCTTCAATTTCTAACATGAAATCTGAGACACAATGATTATCTCTTAATCTGTGAAATATTTAATTCTGATTTGTGAGTCAGAGGGATCAAATTACTATAACAACCTCTGACTGAAACAGTTGTGAGTTTCAAATTAAATTTAGTATTGCTTTATGTACAGGTAACCATGGTAACCCAGCTAGTGGTAAATCCAGAACACAGTATGGTAAACTTCTAATTGTTTCAAATGCTTTTGAATATTAAAGTGAAGATCTTAAATTCATTTGTGATACATCTGTTAAAAATTATGCATTATTGGTTAATACCTCCTGATGTAGCCCCTCAAATCATGTGACTGTCTCTGACCTTGAATGTTCACTTGCTACAAGATCAGTATGTTACATGATGAATATTGACTTCCAGAAAACAAGATGGCATCTGCTAGTAACATTTTGGGGTACTTGGGTTAATGGAATGAAACAGATGATAGTTTAGAGTCAATATATACTTTACAGTGATTTTGGGAGAGCAAAACCAATGATATCTCTTGATGAGGGAAATATTTATAATAAGGAGTCTGTGACCCAACCTCTCTTGAGGTCTGGACATACTGAGTCTGCTGGGGTAACTCACTATTGACTCACACACTTACTATTTACTCTCACACATGCAACTCGGGCGGTGGGGTAGCCTAGTGGTTAAAGCGTTTGCTTGTCGTGTGGAAGACCCGGGTTCGATTCCCCACATGGGTACAATGTGTGAAGCCCATTTCTGGTGTCCCCCGCCATGATATTGCTGGAATATTGCTAAAAGCGAGCGTAAAACTAAACTCACTCACTCACACATGCAACTGATTCACACACTCACTATTGACTCAGGGTCTTACTTTATACTCACATGTTCGCTATTTACTCACACACTCACTATTAGCTCACTATTGACTCACACACTCACCATTGACTCACTCACTCACTATTGACTCACACTCACCATTGACTCACTCAATGTTGTCTCACAACTCACTCACTCACTCACTGTTGCCAGTCACTCCTGTGCAGTGAGGAACTGACAGAGGATCTGTGTCGAAGTGTGACTCACCAGATCCAGAACGAGGCTGAGCTTGCTGGCTGGCATTCAATATGGCTGCTGTGTGTTCGTCTGCTTGACTGGAAGCAGGCCACGGAGTTCATCATTGACAGATACCCTGGAGTGGTGCCCAAGTTCATGTCATCCGCATATGGGATGGATCCAGAGAGGGTGAGCTTTACAGAGAGATGTAGCAGGTTGTATTGATTGTAGTTCAGTTCCAGGCTCGAATTGGTCAAATAAGTTGGATCGAGTGGTTGAGTGACTTGGGTTCAGTGGTCAATGAATTGGTTGATTGAATAGAATAGATGGTGTAGACTTTCTTGTATCAATCACCAGATTGGCAAAGACTTGCTTATTTACAGGCCGCTAGATATAGGTGGATAAACACTGACTGCATCGTTGTCCAACACATAGACATTCTTCACACAGTCAGTTGTGACCAGTCAGTCTTGCGGAATTGTTAAAAAATCACATTGATGATTAGTTCATTACCACAGAACTAATCGTACATGTTTGATGATTAGTTCATTACAGTTATTACCTACTGTTCAATTATACAAATCGCCGTTATTACCTACTGAAGTGTTGTGTCTGTTGTGTCATTATGCAGGACTGATGATTACCTACTAAAGAGTGTGTCTGTTGTGTCAGTGGCAGTGGCGATGCGGGATGCGGTGTTATCACATATTGCTTGTTATTACATACTAAAGTGTTGTTATTGGCATACCGGGATGCGGTGTTATCACATATTGCTTGTTATTACCTACTGAAGTGTTGTGTCTGTTGTGTCAGTGGCAGTACGGGATGCGGTGTTATCACATATTGCTTGTTATTACCTACTGAAGTGTTGTGTCTGTTGTGTCAGTGGCAGTCAGTTATCACATATTGCTTGTTATTACCTACAATGTGTGTTATCACATATTTTTATCGGGGATCATGGTGTTATCACATATTGCTTGTTATTACCTACTAAAGTGTTGTGTCTGTTGTGTCAGTGGCAGTACGGGATGCGTTGTTATCACATATTGCTTGTTATTACCTACTGAAGTGTTGTGTCTGTTGTGTCAGTGGCAGTACGGGATGCGGTGTCTGGAGGCGGTGATGAAAGAGCTGCCCTCATCCACTTCAGGAGAAGAGCTGTACGTCCAAGCATACCGAGGTTAGGGTCAAACACTGTCCTTCATTATCCAGTGTATAATATCTGTATTTTGTTTTGATATTCTCCTTGCACACCATTGCTCTCTTACAGTTTTATCATGATTTCTACAAGTGATTCTCTTGTAGTGAGTGAGTGTGGGTGGTGGGTGAGTGAGTGTGAGTGAGTGAGGAGTGAGTGAGTGAGTGAGTGAGTGAGTGAGTGAGTGAGTGAGTGAGTGAGTGAGTGAGTGTGGAGAGTGAGTGAGTATTCCAGCAATATCACAGAGTGGGGGGACACAAGAAATGGGCTTCACATATTGTGCCCGTGTGGGGAATCGAACCCAGGTCTTCGGCGTGACGAAAGAATGCTTTAACCACTATACTACCCCACCGCCCCTGATTCTCTTGTAACTAGTTTGACTCTATCTGTATGTGTTCAATAATATAAGGACTTTCCTCCTTTCTTAAATCTTGCCCAGATGAAAGATCATCTATGGCATCCCTGTGATTGGTTATACACTACTTAACTTATCTTGCATATCTATACTTATATATCTTTACTTGAATAGATCTTCAACACCCTCGTACAAGGCGACCATGTTGAATTTGTATAAGTGGGGATTTGTGGTGGAGTAGCTATTAATACCACTTGCTTTAAGCAAAACTTTCCTTCACTCCCATTTTATGACTTGCAGGTTTCCCTATATGCCTATGACTGGCCTGTGGTACAAAACAAGATTCACTCACTTTATTTTATTATGGAAATCTTGACTATATCATCACTTTGTGTTAAGGGACTCTTGGGATTTATGTCTTATCCATTCTTAAGAAAATTACCTTTTAATGTGGAGGTTAGTTTGTACCTTACAATTTGTCAATTTCAGGCATCCTGAAGGATTTATCAGAGTTACTTCCCCCTGACCACTTCCTCAGCTTGTTGCCAGCAGATGGCAGTTTTACGTTCATGTTGCCATACATCACACAGTGCTTCCGGCACCAATGTGCCAAGATTCTCAAGAACGACATCATGGACAAGGGCCGCAAGATGGTCACTCATCACTGACCGCTGTTTATCATCATGACTTGATCGGCATGTAGCTCACATTCCATCATTCTCTTCCCACAGAGGTTACTTGTCCTTTCTTCCTATGAACCTCTGTTCTAATACGGTCATATTTCCCGGTTCTCGTAAAATCCCCTAGCGGCAAAAAATCGCAACATGAATTATCTCCCTCCTTTCTGTCCAATCAGAACACGTGTTACATCAACTTGACTAATACAAGCAAATGTTGGGTCACAAATATCCCTCCTCTGCCAGGAACTTGTGTTGATGTGACACACAAGACGTTTAATGGCTAGCTTGTCCGTTGTCAACGAGGGCGATGGAGATGCCATTGATCCGCCATTTACATGACTGAGTTCTGTCTATAAGAAACGTTTGTGCATCGCGCAGGGCAAGAGGTTCTAGTTTTCCCGAAGCATACGGAAATAACCGAGGCCTTGCGAATGATCACTTTTGAAACAACATCACTGATTGCACAACTAAATCTGATTGCAACCAATCACGAATCCTGAACACTCGCACCATGAAAGGGCCTTATTAGAACAGATGTTCGTAGGAAGATATGACAAGTAACCTCTGTGGGAAGAGAATGACATTCCATGGGAGACGGGGCGATGGGGTAGCCTCTCCATGGGAGACAATCCAGAACCTGATAATACTACAAACTGTAGATGGCGCTGACATACTACATAAAGAATCTAAACACTTCAAGATATGTCAGTAATCTGCACAACCAATCATGCATATTTCTATGCATTTGTTCCAAAGTCTGTGCTGATGATAATTATTACAGCTATAGGACAAATCCTGCATTGTTTGAAAATCTGAGATCATTCTAGTGAAGAAGTTCAGCAATATCAAAACTGTACAAATATTTTCCAGTCAATGATTCCGAAAATACAACACATGAAATACAAGCCAACGTACCTTGGTAAACAAAATGAGGGATGCTTGGTTCTTTTGTCAAGATGCCATGTTTCTAAAACAATTTGGCTTCATTTCTTGAACACCCTGATTCAGTCGATTTGAACTATGGGGTATAGCTGCCATGGTGCTGACATACCACAGGGTATGTATGTCTACAGCACTGTTATAGTGTTGCCATGGTTTTCAGAGATGTAACATTTGGAGTAAATAATATGATTCTGGATCAAAATGAAAACTAAATAATTAATATTTTCTTAATTTTATTTTATGTTTCTGTAACTGATAATGTTTGATGGTCTATCTTGTTGATCATGTATTGACATCTGACACTGATAGTTTGAGCAACAGTTACATTGATATCAAAAGGATTATGAAGACATAATGCCAGTGTGGGTTCAAATCCTGGATGGGACTCAACCCAACAAAAGTACTAGAATCTGTACTTTACTGAGAAAGTGTAATCCCAAATATAACATTGCCTAAGTTTTGACCATCAGTGAAGTGAAAATAAATACAATCAATGGAAAATCGTAGCTGACTATTTTCATACCATTCTGTCATTGATGACATTAATGAACTGCCCAAGCCCACTTGGACCTACTTGATCACATACTACAGTCAGTGTTCTTTGTTATTTAACAGATTGAGTGTTTTATGAATCTAGTGAAAACTGACTCATCTAAAAATGTCCATTCTAATCTGTTTAATTCATGATATTGTGATTTAGAGAAATCCCAATCTTCTTGTTACCCCAGACATTCTTCTTACTACATTCTTGTAATCAGACTGTGTGCTTGTAATTGTGTGTGGTCGAAAAACTGCCAAGGAAATATGGTTTTGGAAATAGTTGATTGACCTCAGGATAAGGTAAGGGAGGGATGGATGAGATTTTTGTGTGTACAAATTCTGACTGAAACAATGATTTATGTGTATAATTTGTTATATTTGTTACAATAATATATATTATATTTATATTATACGTTGATATTAATGATTAAATTATTCACCTTATAAAGAGTTTTTGTATTTATTTTGGGTACCCAAGAACATATATTTTTGGAGGCAGGATCTCCGTGGATTGTGGCACAGACAGATGTGGCCAATGTTGAGGCCACTAGTTTGATATCTGCCCTTAAATAAAGGAATCATTGTTGCATTGCCTTCAAACAGGTGTGTTCCAACATTATTTCCCATGTCAATATTTAGGCATACATGAACGGTTTTTCCAGTTTTCAGCACAGCTACCTCTCCAACAAACATTCTACCTAAAGAACACTGGAGTGATACTTTACAAGGTTTCACTCTATACAGGAATCAGCTATTATGACGTTACAATGTGACACAACCAGTGTGACGTCATGCCCTACAAGTCTGCATCTGCGTATCTCTCCACGCACGGCTACTAATGACGTCACGTGTATACTTCATTATGACGTCACGCCATTGTCAACAAAGAGCTCTGGCCAAGGATCACGCAGACAGCTGCCACACTCTATCAGGCCCAGACATGTATCAGGCCTTCCCCCTCCAACACCTCAGGCAGAGGACGTAAGTACCAAGCTAAGCGATTATGTCCAGCCAGACTTCTCTGGAATGAACTGAAGGAAATATCGAATAGAAACCTATCGTACTATTTGCACATGCAATAAAATAATTAAAAAACATACCCAAACAAACAAAATGAAAATAAATAAATTAACTAAAAGGAAGGAAGAAAGAAATTTCATGAAACATGGCACTGTGGTCGAGATCCCTATGTGATGTGTATCATTGGCGGTTACCTAAAGACGGGCCGACAGCGGGAAGGCGTCACACAGATTCGATTCTTACAATTCGGCCTAGTGTACCTGGAATGCGGTATAAACAAGTATTAACTCTTTGAGGCTGAACAATAAATTATATCCCTTAACATACACACCACCTTCAGCCGTATTCCTTCAGAACCACGGACATGATACTTCAAATGGGCTTCACATACTGTACCCATGTACAGGGCAGTAGAGCCCTCTAGCTGGTAGAACGCTTTAGCCGTTAGGCTACATCACAGTAAGTGGTGTTTGTCATGTGTATTTCTCATTTCAGTTTTGTTAAGCTATGAAAGACTGGGTTGTAAAACTTGTGTCGGATGTTCGATCTGCAATAACGTAATGGTGTGGTGTACTTGATATAAAGCAGACCTTTTTCAAGAGGCTTCATTTAAAACGGGTTAATGCTGTTTGGGGTAGTTTTTCAGGTATATTACGGTTTTGCACATTGTGGAAATCCCGCGCCGTGCAGGTCCTGGCAATAACACCGCTAAAACCCACGTGCACGTGTAAAAGGGGTGTTGATAAATTCAAAGTCAGGCGGATCTGGGGTTCGAACCCAGGAGAATTTGGCCCGCCAAGGGGACGTAGCTCTACATGTCCAATTTCAGCATCTATGACAATTGGGCCATTTGCAATGCATGAAAACCATAACACAATTTAGTGGAAGACTTGATTGAGGCTGTATGTTATGTTACCTGCTGATCCAGCAGATCATAGCAGATCATAGCAGATCATGGCGGCCATCTGTACATACAGATTTGTTCATTTATTCACCACGCGTTGAATTGCCATAGGCAAGAAATAGGATTAGTGAAATATTAAAACTATATTGAATTTCAATCCCAAACTATCGATTTGAGAATTGATCATGGAGCCGTTTCCCCTGTAGTTGATGCCAAGTTTTAGTCCAAACATCTCAAAATGATAATAATTTAGGAACTATGTCTAATTAACTCTGGACACTTTTGACTTTGATGACCAAGAAAATTCTCCCGTCCAAAACGTGAACATAAAATTTCCCAAACTATCCGACATTTTGTAACTTTTATATGTTAGTTTTGCTATCTCACTGAAGGCATAAGAAATGGGACATCTTCCATTACAGCACATCTACAAACACCTAGATGTCGAAGGTGATGCGGTATGCCCTGCATCATTCTCAATCAACGAGCACTTGCCAGTCGGCAAGACGGAAAATTCAGGAAAATCAATAAGTGCGGCACTGCTTCGGAAAGCACTTGCAACTACATACATGGCAGGGTTAAGTTCTTGCTGTCAATTCTCGTAATATCTCGTCATACGTGGAAACGCGAGGTCAGGTGTCTTTTCAACGAATGTTTCCTCTGATTTCAGCACGCCGTCTAATTTAGACTCTGAGGTGTCGTCTATCGTTGATGCCAGTGTACGGAGCCTGCTCGACCCCATTGTAGGACGGTTTTGGCGATGCGTCGGTTGCATCAGTGAGTACATGTGCACCAGTATATGTCTTCTTTGTATTCAGCTCTATGAAAAGGGCTCTGTTTCTATATAGTGGTACTTGAGTATGAATTTGATGTACATTTGAAACACTGAATGAAGTGTCGATATAATTATTTGTTAAACTTATGAATTTTTAATATATGTTAACAGCTATGTGTAAATATAATGTTCCTCACCTATATGAATATTAATATTAGCACATGTTTGGAACAGTGACGAATTCTTCACTCGGGTATGCTCAGTTTATTCCATCGACTATTGGCATTTATGGCTCCAGTAAGGATCGAACATTCACCGCGAATATGATTCGTAGTCCACTTTAGCCTTGACATTTTACAATGCACGCCAGTCTGCTACGAGCGGCGCCGAGGGCCAATTCTCTGTCACCCACACAACTGTAGGAAGCAGACACACTGGAACCGTCCTGGAAACTGGGAACCTTGGATCTATGGACCCTGACTAGGCCCTCTTCCAACTCTAACTCCCGTACTTTAACACAGACTTGCGACAGTCATGGACAGTTTTGTGGAGCACACTCCTGGATGTCGAAAACGGCGCTGCTGTAGTATTACGTTGAATCTAGGGACCTGGATGTCGAACATAGCCTTGTTGTATGACTGCGTTGCATCTATGGACCTGGATGTTGAAGATGGTCTCTACGTTGAATCTGTGGACCTGGATGTTGAACATAGTCTTGTTGTAGGACTGCGTTGCATCTATGGACCTGGATGTTGAAGATGGTCTCTACGTTGAATCTGTGGACCTGGATGTTGAAGATGGTCTCTACGTTGAATCTGTGGACCTGGATGTTGAAGATGGTCTCTACGTTGAATCTGTGGACCTGGATGTTGAAGATGGTCTCTACGTTGAATCTGTGGACCTGGATGTTGAAGATCTATGGACCTTGATGTCGAACATAGTTTTGTTGTAGGACTGCGTTGCATCTGTGGACCTGGATGTTGAAGATGGTCTCTACGTTAAATCTATGGACCTGGATGTTGAACATAGTCTTGTTGTAGGACTGCGTTGCATCTATGGACCTGGATGTTGAAGATGGTCTCTACGTTGAAATATGGACCTGGATGTTGAACATAGTCTTGTTGTAGGACTGCGTTGCATCTATGGACCTGGATGTTGAAGATGGTCTCTACATTGAATCTATGGACCTTGATGTCGAACATAGTCTTGTTGTAGGACTGCGTTGAATCTATGGACCTGGATGTTGAAGATGGTCTCTACGTTGAATCTGTGGACCTGGATGTTGAACATAGTCTTGTTGTAGGACTGCGTTGCATCTATGGACCTGGATGTTGAAGATAGTCTCTACGTTGAATCTATGGACCTGGATGTTGAACATAGTCTTGTTGTAGGACTGCGTTGCATCTATGGACCTGGATGTTGAAGATGGTCTCTACGTTGAATCTATGGACCTGGATGTTGAACATAGTCTTGTTGTAGGACTGCGTTGCATCTATGGACCTGGATGTTGAAGATAGTCTCTACGTTGAATCTGTGGACCTGGATGTTGAAGATGGTCTCTACGTTGAATCTATGGACCTGGATGTCGAACATAGTCTTGTTGTAGGACTGCGTTGCATCTATGGACCTGGATGTTGAAGATGGTCTCTATGTTGAAATATGGACCTGGATGTTGAACATAGTCTTGTTGTAGGACTGCGTTGCATCTATGGACCTGGATGTTGAAGATGGTCTCTACGTTAAATCTGTGGACCTGGATGTTGAACATAGTCTTGTTGTAGGACTGCGTTGAATCTATGGACCTGGATGTTGAAGATAGTCTCTACGTTGAATCTGTGGACCTGGATGTTGAAGATGGTCTCTACGTTGAATCTGTGGACCTGGATGTTGAAGATGGTCTTGTTGTAGGACTGCGTTGCATCTGTGGACCTGGATGTTGAAGATAGTCTCTACGTTGAATCTATGGACCTGGATGTTGAACATAGTCTTGTTGTAGGACTGCGTTGCATCTATGGACCTGGATGTTGAAGATAGTCTCTACGTTGAATCTATGGACCTGGATGTTGAAGATGGTCTCTACGTTGAATCTGTGGACCTGGATGTCGAACATAGTCTTGTTGTAGGACTGCGTTGCATCTATGGACCTGGATGTTGAAGATGGTATCTATGTTGAAATATGGACCTGGATGTTGAACATAGTCTTGTTGTAGGACTGCGTTGCACCTGTGGACCTGGATGTTGAAGATGGTATCTATGTTGAAATATGGACCTGGATGTTGAACATACGCTTGTTGAAGAATAATGACAATTATGATGGATAAAACAACTTCTTTTATTCTGTGGAGGCGACGTTTCGACATAGGTTCTAATGTCGTTGTCAAGCAAGTGATACATGAGTAACAAATTGAGAGAATATATACAGGAGTTGTTGTTACAGTAGATCTAAAATGCCCATCAAAGAGGTCATAGTCTTGTTGTAGGACTGTGTTGCATGTATGGACCTGGATGTTGAAGATGGTCTCTTCGTTGAATCTGTGGACCTGGTTGTTAAAACATTGTCTCTCCGTAGAACTGCGTTTCATCTATTCGCCCGGATCTTGAAGGTGGTCTTGGTGTAGAACAAGGTTGAATCTATGATCTTGATGTGGCAGAGAGCTCAAAGGGAGAACAGTTCCGGATATCAACTTCTTTAACATACGGTTTCACAACGTTTCCGAGTAAAGAATTACTCCTTCATCTGGTGAATGAATGCTAGGATGCAGAGAGCATATGTACATACTAGTTCAACAAGAGTTGTAACATTACCCAGACTTTAATACAATCCATGAATAGACACTTGACTTGCTTATGAAACACAGCTGCCTTTTAAAAAAATAAAGAGTTTCATTTTTGTCATCGGGGAAGTGTTTGGTAAGTCATTGGTCACAACCGTTACTCGTTTTGCGTAAGTAACAAAGTTCGGTTTTCCTCTTGATAATGTGATATGTCTCCCTCCAATAGACCATCAGCGGCTTTTCTTCACTGGGTAACCGTTTTATTTAGGAATCATCATTAAGTCTTAATTCGGTTCCATTTCCGCAATCTGAGAATTATCTCCGATCGTGAGCGACTGGCATTGGTATTCGTCATCATGATTTTGGAATAATTAGGAATTAGGAATAATTAGTACTGTGAAAGTAAGATGGAATCAGTAATATGCTATCCATGTAAACATTGCTTTGGTGGTGTGATATTGCTGGAATAGTTCCAGAAGCAACGTTCATTATTTCATGGCATCGCGGGTATCGCCGGTGGTGCCGTTACCAATTAGGAAGCAGTCGTAAAATATTCTCTACTCTCTCGCGGCACGGCCAGTGTTGACGCATTCCCCCTTTCCTGATACGCAAACAAAATCAACTTCACCTGATATCCATTACCCATGACACACGAATAATGTTATTTTCCGGAATCATCTTATTTAAAAAATTATTATTTAGTCGTCATTTTGTGAAGTAATTGCATCAAATGGCAGGTGCGTGAGAGCCCGGTTTTCAAAGTTCACACGCGGGCGCACGTTTCGAGTTCGTTGCAATAATACGCGTCGATTACGTGCTGAAAGCATGGCCGCCTTGATACGATTCTGTACACGTTTACTCTAGCTACATCAGTCCGTGCAGCTTCGTGTAGGCACTCAACACCAGACAATATTTAATCGTACGAAATTATCCTAGACATATGAAAATAGACAGCGAGTCCAAGCATCGACGTATCCAATGGTGGCGTTTGATTCAGGTTTGTTGACTAAGTAGCGTGAAAGTTACATGTGAATTTAAGTGATTTCTCTTTCTAAATGATCCCAGACACACGAAAACAGACGTTGAGGCCAAGCGTCGACGTGTCCAGCTCGGTACTGTTGTCCTTCTTGCAATGTGTCAAATGTATCTTATATCTAGTTACCAGGATTGGCGGTCATGTAATGAGGCCGATTGTGTGTTTTGGTTAGGTTGTAGCCCTGGATCTTTAATTGGATTTGTTCTTTGCTTGGTATTCAAAATGTGTGCTGTTTTACCAAGGCATTTGTGGCAACTGATGAGATATTGATGTAAACTGGGATCTGAAATTTCACACAAAGACTTTTATTCAAAGTAATCTTTCTTGCATAATACAATGAAACATTAATGTTTGTGAGTGGGTCAGTGGTGAGCAGACCTGAGTTTCCGGGGAACCTTCTCCGGAACAAGTCAAAACATTGATTACACAACAGTCTCGTTTCCTGTTGACTGGGTCCCGTCCTATTGCGCAACTTGGTACAATAACCAGTCCAGAATTTTGGGACCAATTCATTTAACTGGATACATATTTATTAATCAGTATTATTTGATACATCTAACCACACTACGCTCCTTCTAATCCTTGCAACACGTCGTGCAGCGTGCTCTGTCGTACAGCGAGCTCTGAAAAACAGAAACCTGGAAATCGTGGAAATCTCAAAACGAGGCTCTCCCGCTAGAAAAGTTTGGCGGTCTGGTACGAACCTGATATTATATCAATCCCATTGTGCGTTACAAAACTACACTGAATAAGCGCAAAAAACGCATAACAGGTGTAACCAGTGAGCCAGATGCATTGTGAATCATTTTACGACCTCATCAAACAGGGGCAGTCTGTGACGTCTTAGTTAAGGTCATCCTGCCTACACCTCGCCATAAAATATAGAAATACGATGTTATTAAAGTTTAAAACTAAAATTCATTTGTAATACCATTTTCTTATGAACAAGGAATTGGAATTCAGTGTAACCATAGTTGTTTGTGATGTCGTTTTTCACTTTCACACGAGAAAATTCGGATCGGCTGAAAAGTAGGTCATTGTCTGAATAGGTTAATGAGACTCATGTTTCGGTTTGACGTGCGGATCAATGAAGCAAAAACACAACACATCAACGAGGTTAAAATTTGTTTTCCAATATGGCCGCGACAACAGTTACTGTAATAGATACCTTTATAACCTGAGTCATACCCCAATGGTGGACATGAGTCCTTTCACTTTGATGGGGATGGCGGTAACATTGTTGTCCCAAAACTCAGTATCGAAATTTGAAGTGTAGAGGTACCTTGCTAAGCTGTGCGAGTTCCTGCCTTTCATGGGGTTGAATCCAAGATGTTCCTCTCTAACGACCCATTGTTTGTCAGCAGCCCACCCCTGTCGTCAGGTCTGTAAACTCCGTCACAGTTGTCCACCGACTACAATCTGACACGACCTGATTAGTCCTGAAATAGTGCTGAATGAGACGTTACTACAGCAGTGAATGGGTACCCGGTGGGAGAAATGGTCATATGACTGTTAACCTTTTAGCGTCTCACAGGCAGCTTTAGCTAAAAATATCTGCGCTTTGCACACATTTTGTCCTTAGCAGCAATGAGCATCTTTGAGGTGGATGAATAATCGCTCTGCAAATGTAAAAATATATTACAAATTATAAAATTAATATACATCCCATTATCCTCTGTTTCCAAAAGTTGACACATGTATCTGTGAAAGATAAACAAAATTGATGGCATCACCTCGCTCAGATAAATGACAAAACCAGTTTTGCCGAATTAAACTTTCTTATTTGGGCAGAATCAGTGTATAGTGTTTTACATATCCTTTGCTCAAAGACAGCCTCTGTACTTGCTCTGCCTTCAGCGTTATTGCAGTTACAGTCCTGCAGGAAGAGCACCAATGGACTCCGGATCTCCTGTAGGACTTAAAGAACACAACTATCCCACCATGGATGTCGCGTCGGACTTAAAGATGGCGATCTTCAGAATTTCACTGTCACTTTATTTGTCAAACTACGACCAAAAAGACAACAACAACTGACTTCACTTGCAGGGATCCCTCTGGTTGTGAGGTCGATATGGTGTGAAGTGTGTAACGCAATTGAATCTAATTTTTACATTAGCTGGTCGTAAAATTGCACAGGTGCCCGGCAAAGTACTTGCTAGATAATGTGTTTCATAACAATTAACAGTGAAACAATAGTCGCAGGTCGGACAAACGGATTACCCACACGGTAACTGTCTTGAAGTTGTTTGGGCTGCAAATTCATTTAAATCCACCAAGTTACACTAACTGAAACTTTGTTGTCAAACCCAGAATCCACAGTCAGTGATGAATCTGAAACCATCGTTTCATCCTCAGTGCAGAACGTTTGAAGCCAAGCTTTCAAGTATCCACCAAATGGCCACATTTTGAATTTCGTCTTCTAATTTGATTGGCTAGTCCATCAAGACGCGCCAAGATTGGCAGCTCGACCAATAAACCAGCATATACACTGTCACTTGAAAGCTCCATGCAGCTCCTTTACATTCATTGTGATGAAAGAAATCAGAATGTGTGTGCTATTGTTTTATTACAAGAACTATAAAACTATCACGAAGGTCACCAAATTAAAGATGCCCTTTTCAGTGTTTACACGGAAGCCTTCTCTGGTTTGGTTTTATTTGTAATAACCTCCTAGTTTCATTAAAACAAACTTACGAGTTCTGAACAGTGAAGATTCTAATAGAGTTGACAAAGGTCAAACGAAATCGACAACATTCTGTTCATGTCGGCCAATCAATATTTACTCCAGATGAAGATTAATTGGAGCTTAATGAACCGTGACGGATCAGATTAGCGATGGGGCCCAACTGAGAAAGAGAGGAAGCCAAAATTGACAGGATTAGTGTCTGCTTTGCTGGGTGTTTCTCCTGAACAGTAATCAACAAGGAGATTATCTGTAGTGCTTTATATTGCTTAGACCTTTAATGAAAGTTAAGGGGATCTCCAAGCTGCGTTGTATTTCATTCAGTTATCGATTATCGTCCGTCGGCAGGTGCTGTATCAACAATCATGCACACTCTCCTTATGTTGCTATTCGCCACAATGGTGGTACTTTACAAAAGAAAGTGTAATCCCAAATATAACATATGTTACATGTGAGAAATCTTCTGTTTCGTTGACAAAATAAAAATGTGCTAGAATCTGTACTTTACAAAAGAATGTGTAATCCCAAATATAGCACGTGTTCAGTGTCCACAGTGATGATACCAGGTGTTCGTGAAGAGGGTGGCCTTATCCTCCTTCACTGATTATTATTCCCCTTTCCTCCTTCACAAAACATATGGAACAGAGTTGCCACACGTGTTCAGTGTCCACAGTGATGATACCAGGTGTTCGTGAAGAGGGTGGCCCTATCCTCCTTCACTGGCGGCCCTATCCTCCTTCACTGGCGGCCCTATCCTCCTTCACTGGCGGCCCTATCCTCCTTCACTGGCGGCCCTATCCTCCTTCACTGGCGGCCCTATCCTCCTTCACTGGCGGCCCTATCCTCCTTCACTGGCGGCCCTATCCTCCTTCACTGGCGGCCCTATCCTCCTTCACTGCTGGCCCTATCCTCCTTCACTGGCTGGCCCTATCCTCCTTCACTGGCGGCCCTATCCTCCTTCACTGCTGGCCCTATCCTCCTTCACTGGCGGCCCTATCCTCCTTCACTGGCGGCCCTATCCTCCTTCACTTCCTCCTTCACTGGCCCTATCCTCCTTCACTGGCGGCCCTATCCTCCTTCACCTATCCTCCTTCACTGGCGGCCCTATCTCTTCACTGGCGGCTCCTTCACTGGCGGCCCTATCCTCCTTCACTGGCGGCCCTATCCTCCTTCACTGGCGGCCCTATCCTCCTTCACTGGCTGGCCTCCTTATCCGGCCCTTCCTGCTGGCCCTATCCTATCCTCCTTCACTGGCGGCCCTATCCTGGCGGCCCCTTCACTGGTGGCCCTATCCTCCTTCACTGGCGGCCCTATCCTCCTTCACTGGCGGCCCTATCCTCCTTCACTGGCGGCACTAACCACACAAATACAAGTCTATGTACTCAGTACACAACTGCCTACTGCAGTCGAACCACGTACGAGACTCAAAGGTCTGAACAATTTCAAAGCTTAAGTAGAGGCTCTTGTGGAACCCTTTGGTAAACTTCAAGAAACCACTGAAATACAGAGAAATAAGCCAACCATTCACAGACACCAGTGCCAACTGTAGTCAAAACTTGTGGATACCATGCAGACAGAATGTATTTAGGGTTATTAATCCTTTCTTTCCTTGTAGGAAGCCAATTACAAAGAGCCTATCTATGAAACTTTATGCCTAGAGAAGAACGTTAACACAGTTGGTGGCCATGGGGATGCCTGCCTCTTGTCTTAATGTCTTACTACCAAACTGTACATACTCGTATATGATATCAATGAAGAAGTCCAGCATTTACTGTAATTATTTATTGACAAGTCGTCCTGATCCTCTGAAACACAGATATGAAACTATAGATACTGTGACCGCGTTTTAATGAGTAGTGCCACATGGATCAACAAAGCTGAAACAAAAACAAACAAACAATACATACGCACACCAAAATGAGCAAAACCTATCCCATACATTAGCATGGGTTAGGTTCAGTTAATTTTGTCGAAATATTTTTACCAATTTTACTTCCGACTATGATATTTCTCTGCCTTACCGAATGACCTCAGAAAGAAAGTCACAGATTACACCGGAATGTGTTTTCTCACTCTTAGGTAGGGCAGGGGGTTATTTGATATCCCAATTCTGATAGAGTCTGTCAGGATGCAGACTAAAATAATGACCGTTTATGTTCTTCTGAGACTCCCGTGGTGAGACGGACCATCGCTTACGGCTATCACTCGACATCACTGTAATTTCCACGCCACTTACTTTACTATTTACTGTATGTATGCTGGAGACGACAATTTTGATTTTTATGTAACAAGATCCATCAAGTGTCTGGAAATGTTACTCAGAATGAAGTGACCTTGACCTACATAAACGTTTCCAATAGAGGTGCATAAAGGGAGATAAGTATCTGAGAGTAAGCAACCCATATCTAGCTACGATATAGGTTGGCCTTTAAGGTTTCTGCCCTTTCTGAATACAATGCCGTTGTCTCGTGTAGTTGGACTTCCGGTGAAACTGATAAAAGGAAGAAGGTTGTTTATATTTTTAATGCAATGTTTTTCTACTGAATCAGATGAAACTAATATGTGTCGTTAGCCTGTAAATAACAGAGTGAGCACAAGATCAAAGATGAGACGCCATGAACTACGTGACCGAACAACCCGATCCGTATAGTCACCTCTTACGACAGGCACAGGTTACTGGAGACGTGGTGTGGCGTCCATGAAGGGTGGAGGCTGTCTGTACTTAGTCATGGATCACTGAGCAGAACGTTCTGGGTATATTCTTGTATAATTATGTTATATTCTCGTTTCAGACCGACTTTTTGGACGAACTGATCCATCTGAGGAACTCGAGGAATGGGTAGGTAACAATATACATTGAAGTTGAAAATTCTTTATAATATTAAATAGACGCTTTAACGTTCCGTAAGTTTTCTCAACTTTTATTTTTCTAAAATTTAGAAGTAACTCTACGACACACGATGATAAAATGTCTGTAATTCTCGAACTTTTGATTATTCTCTTCTGTTCTCAACTTTTTATTTTTCTAAAATTTAGAAGTACTTACGACACACGATTATAAAATGTCTGCTCGAACATGAAACTTTTCTGTGTTAAAAAACTGCGCGAACAGAAACTGTGAGATGCGTGCCATTTAGAGGAATTTTACATTAATCAGTTCCTCAGAGCACCAAGAACAACCTAAATACACAATGCTGATATCATGAAAGATAGTAGTAAGTGAGTTTGTTCACACGGTTCGTGGCTGGCTGGAATCAGCTCATGCGGCCAAGTAGCCTTAATGAGAGAAGATCCGCCTTAACTTACTGATTTAATTAATCTGTGAAACCGTGAAGCTATCGCAATAACACCCGGCTCAGCATTTAATCTGGTTAATGAATCCAGCTGGCTTTTATTTGTCCATTACCATCACCAATCAGCGCTAATTAACCACTGCCTTCTTTTAGTCCCCTGCTAATCATCAGTCAGTGCTAATTAACCCCTGCATTCCTATACGCCGTTGCTAGTCACCAATCAGTGCTAATTAAACCCTGACTTTCTTTAGTCAACTGATAATCACCGATCAACGCTAGACAACTGCTGGTTTCCCTTTCTAAGTTTCCATCTTCGTCATTTCATGAGAACATTGCACATGTGTTGTGTACATTATAGAACTGACAATATGACTTCTTTGATGGGCATTCTATAAGTTGAGGTGATGAAGAATGATGATAATTTTTATGGATATACAACTTCTTTATTGTATTAAAGGCGACGTTTCGACAAGCAACGATATTAGAGTCTATATCGAAACGTCGCCTTTCACAGAATATAGAAGTTGTATATCCATAAAAATATCATCATTCTACTGACAATATGTATGTATTGGGAACATGTTTTGTTAGAATGAAAATAGCCACATGAAGTATATTGTCATACCTGACTGTTTGGTAAGGTCAGCGGATTGTACATAACATCTATCACCTAAATATCAAATACAATAAAAGTCTGTGTTTCCCAGTTTGTACGTAATAAGAACTATCAGTTTTCTGGGGTTGTAGTCGTTGACGAGCGCTCAGCGTCAAAGTCTCCCTCGGTAATTGCAAATTGTCAACCGGGGAGGTTCTCAAATGCTGGCTGACCCTCTGTGGTATAATGTGACATTTCTGAAACGGCTCCAAGAAGATTTACAAGTATCCCTGGTTAGCTGATTGACTCGCGACAGACGAAACTGTCATCAATGTCAAATTAACCTGCACATGTTGGTGAAATATCGATTGACGTTCCATCTTTCTTCAGGTGGCTTCATACGTTAATAATTGTGATTTCTTGTTTCTGATATTGTACAACTACTGGGCGGCGGCAGCCACCGTTTTAAGGTTTGATGATTTCAGGTTTTGAGGGTTTTGTATGTCAAGGATAATTGATTTTCTCTGTTAATTGTGGAACTGGTAGACGCTTAGAAATCACAAAGATTATATTATCCTAAAGCCATATGCCAGATACTTTATTGATAACAACTTCAATCAATCTAAATAAATACCTGAAGTGCCCAAACGTGCTTTGGTGTGCAGCTGTCAGTATGGATGTCTAGCATTGTCATATGTTAAAACTTGAGTATCTCTGACAGAGAACACCTCTACAACTGACACAATTGAAAACCCCCACCCTGTCTGGTATCATGCATTGCTTAAATCCATACTTCTGGTTGTTTCTGGACTTTACAGCACCAAACCGATATCGTTGGTTGCAGAGGTAAACGTCCAACTGCGGCTCATTTCCCATGATGCATCTCACCATCTCAGTACCTTATGAATACTTGAGTAGGTCATAGGTTGCCGTGAGTTATCACGTATTAAGACTACTAAATAGTGTCAAAATGTTAAACTATGCATCGTATTCCTGTTTCAGGTGATGGTAACAGTTCAGAATGGCCAAATGAAGGAGATTCCGAAAGAAGCTGATGCAGGGGAGGCAACTCCTACTCCACCGGAAGTGCCTCCAATCGAGTTTGATTGAAGGTGTCAATGTCATGAACAGTCTTTGTATGTGCCCCCACAACGGCACTCTTCAGTTTACAAGCATATGTGCACTCAAATAATTAAAAATAATTAAACGTTACTTTTACTTAACAACGTGTACTGTTCTTTTTCAAATGTGTTTCTCACTTGATGGAACATGGCGACAAACAACTTGTCATGAAAAACGCATAATAACATTCAGTGCATCCAGACTAATATGTTCAGCGGTAAGTCTTGGAATCAAGGAAGGACTCTGTGTAAATTGGCAGAAAGTATTTGAGGCAAGAACATACAACTCGGAGCATTTGCTTGACTTTTTGGTAGTATCGAAAACAATTCAATTTCATCAAAACGATAGCTCAAGCTTTAGGTAAATTAGTGATCTGAAATCATCCAGTAAGTATTGTACAGTAAATTCCCATCCGCTGATTTACCTACCTCTGAATATGTTTGAACAAAGTTACCCCACTTGAATGAGAAACAATGACATGACTTTACCGATGCTTCAAACCTCCACTCCATTGTATGTCCTACACATAATATATCTGCAAAAATATAAAATTGAAAACGATTCGAATATTCAAACATCTTTGACCAAAAATACCCAACTTGAATAAGAAACTATTAAATAACTTTAACGATACTTCAGATATTATTTCTACGATCTTGCTGATTCATAGAGATAAACATTATTTTGCCATCATATCCCTGGGTGGATTATTGTTGAGGGAATAGAGAAGAGGGAACAGGAGACCTCACGTGTCACCGCCGAGATTCCTTCTACTCCTGTCTTAATTACAACATATCACACTTCTGAAGACGCTCTTGGGCAGCTTGTTCAGATGTGATTGATGTAATCTTCTCCCAAATAACCAGCTCTCGTTCAGGGTTGAAAAAAGACAGTTTGTCCAAGAACAGGTACAACCCCACTGAACTCGAACCTGTCCACAATGAATAGAAAATTATAACGATAATGGCTATAGTGTGTTTGGTACAAAATGATACCGATGAATAACAATCTAACACAAAATCCGTTCATGATCAAACATTCATTTCAACGCAGAATGTAATGAAAACATCAGACCAACTCTGAAGAAAAGTTTCATAACGTTTGTGTCCAAAATAGAAAAAGTTACTTAACAAACTATCATCATTTTGTTTTGAGTTTCCGTGTGACGTTTTACGAGGGTAAAGTAACAGTAGTACTGTTTCAGGAACAACCTCAAGGGCGGGAAACACGTGCAGCTGGATGTCAACATTTAGGGGTTGTATCAAAACTCTTCCTGACTGGAATCTGAGGAAATTCCTGATTCACTTTCACTTTAAAGTGCTCACATAACCTTTGTTATATTTGACCATTTTCTAAAAGACATTGCGTATTCACAGCTTCCAGCCATGGGAATCGTGTCAGTTTTCAACACACTGCGTTATGAACACTGCCTCTGGTTTTTTGTAAGCAAGATGAACTCTTTCCTGCGTTTAAGTAATGGGAATGGGGAACCTGCCTGTGTATCTCACCTACTCATTACTCAATAAGGATAATCATTCAACATTGAACGTGTTCTTAATGGAGACTGACTATATTCTGGCAATGACGTTTTAGCATTATGAAGGTAATGTCACTATAATGTGAAAAAAATGTTTGAAGGTTGCATTACATTTCTCGGAAATACAATTTTTTCGTCAGATTATTGAAAGAATGTGTCTCATTTGCTGATGGATATATAAAAAATGAGGATATTTTTTGTGAAACCTGCATGACCTTTCTCCAGCGTCTATTACCGATTCCTTACAGGGACGTCGACATAGAGGTAAAGCATGTCTGTCTCTATTTTCTATCCATTTTTTCTGAAATCTTAGAAATGCCCAGAGCAATGGGATTCACGGCTGTAGAGATTTCCAAACTAAGAGTTGTTTTGGTCACGTGGACAAGCTGTCGAGTGTCTCCAATCTGAAGGTTCTCGTTGTCGTTTTTTAATAAAAGAGATCCGTGACGAGAACCTGTTGTGAAGACTGACACAGATTGTGTATCCTGGTTGCTCATAAGGCTAAACATACCTGTTACCTTTCACACCTTTTGCATAAAGTTTCAGGCCAAGGTGATGTATATATAATGCGTAAATGAGACCAGACAGACATATCGTTGACAGTAAGAGCAAATGTCTAAACTTGAGGTTGGTACCATTGTATGTCACCCCTATCTTTACTCAGTTGTCCAGTCCTTGAAATCTAATTTACAAGTGAACTGGTATTGTCTTGTGAAGGAGGAAATGCCAATTGTCATAACTTACATCAATACTCCAGTTTCTACTTGTTTAATGGTGGTGTTGTCGCCATTCTTGCAATGTATCAAATGCATTTTAAACACAGTCACCAGTTTCATGTTAATCTTATTAGGTCTATAAACTGACTTCGGGGAGGATTTGCATTTACACTGGATATGTTCTTTGCTGGAATGGTCACCTACGCTGTTTTCTTGAGAAATCGATGAAAGTCGAAAAGACACAAAACGTGAGATCTGACTTTTTGTTTGTTTGTTGTTTAATGCCGTACTCCATCTATATGGCGGCAGACTTAAATAATCGAGTCTGGACCAGAAGATCTAGTGATCAACAGCATGAGCATCAACCTACACATCTGGGATACGATGACTTCAGTCAACCAAGTCAGCAAGCCAGATCACCCGATCCCTTTAGTCCCTGTTACGAAAAGCACACGTTGCAGACCAATTCTAACCCGGATCTTCACGGGTAACTGAGATCTGATGTCATCTTCACTCAAACTAATCGTATCTCCGTTTGGCAGCGTTATGATAAACCAGTGACTGATTGCATGAGCAACGATCGAGCCGATGTATTCGTAATACTAGTCTAGTCACTCATTTTGACCAGTCGACCTTCCCTTTATTAAGAAAGAAAGGGTTTCCTGGAACCCCTTCTTTCTGACTTGTTGACCTTTTGTAATTTGTGGTCATTTTGTTGAATTCAAAATTGTTACTTGGCCTTATTCCCTGGATGGTGTGTTACATGCCCTTTGTTCAGGGACAGCCACTGTTAGGAGCTTGTAAGTTCTTGCCCTGTCTTTAGAGTTATTGGAGTGACAGCCTTGCAGGGAAGCCAAGTATCCGATGGGCTCCAGGAATTCAAACTCAGTACTGTGCTACCAAGGATGGGCTCCAAAAAGTATCCCATGCAGGAATTCAAACTCAGTACTGTCATACCAAGGATGTCAATAGATATATTTGCAGTTGAAGCCTTGGGTGGGTGATGTTGTCGATGACTTAAACTAATATATTGAATATATAGGTGATCCTTCAGCAAGATGATCTAAACCTAAAGCAGTGAAGTGGTACCTGGGTACGAAGGCGCTGGCCCGTCACCTATTCTTGAAATTCTTTATTAAGTTAAAGGGACGTATTCAAATCAGAATTTAATGGACACTTTCTTTATGTGACAAAATCCCCCAACAATCAGCAACTGGCTTCACTTAAGGGAACAGTCTTTTGGTTTTCAGTTCCATATGGTGCAATACCCATGAATCCAATGTTTACATTAGCTGGCCGTGAAATTGCATATGTGCTCATCCAAATACTGCCTTCTCAATATATTCTTGAAAAATTCTTACCGAACAGGGCGTTCTTCAAGTCAGAATTTGACTGTACTATACTAGTATTTATGTCAAACCACAGCAAAAACAAACCACCCAAAAACAAAAACTTACTTCACTTACAGGGACCCCTCTGGTTGTCAGGTCGATATGGTGTAAAGTGTGTAACGCCAATGAATCTAATTCTACATGAGCTGGTCGTAAAATTGCACAGGTGCCCGCCAAAGTACTTGCTAAATAATGTGTTTCATAACAATTAACAGTGAAACAATAGTCGCAGGTCGGACAAACGGATTACCCACACGGTAACTGTCTTGAAGTTGTTTGGGCTGCAAATTCATTTAAATCCACCAAGTTACACTAACTGAAACTTTGTTGTCAAACCCAGAATCCACAGTCAGTGATGAATCTGAAACCATCGTTTCATCCTCAGTGCAGAACGTTTGAAGCCAAGCTTTCAAGTATCCACCAAATGGCCACATTTTGAATTTCGTCTTCTAATTTGATTGGCTAGTCCATCAAGACGCGCCATGACTGGCAGCTCGACCAATAAACCAGCATATACACTGTCACTTGAAAGCTCCATGCAGCTCCTTTACATTCATTGTGATGAAAGAAATCAGAATGTGTGAGCTATTGTTTTATTACAAGAACTATAAAACTATCACAAAGGACACCAAATTAAAGATGCCCTTTTCAGTGTTTGCAAATAAGGCTTCTCTGGTTTGGTATTATTTCTACATAATCTTTTATTTTATTTAAAAACAATGCTAATAATGACTAGTTCTAAACAGAGTACATTGTGGAGTTGATCCAGGTCAAACGAAATCGACAGAATCACTATTTACTCCAGATGAAGATCAATGAACCGTGACTGATCAGATTAGGCCCAACTGTGGTAGAGAGGAAGCCAAAATTGACAGGATTAGTGTCTGGGTGTTACTCCTGAACAGTAGTCAACAAAGAGATTTTCTGTAGTGCTTAACATTGCTTAGACCTTTAATGGAAATAAATGAAATGTCATCTCCATGCTGCCTTGTATTTCAGTCAGTTATCGACTATTGATTATCATCCGTCGGCAGGTGCTTTATCAACAATCGTACACACTCTGCTGTTCATACGTTTGTGAATATACATCATTTTTTTAATATCTAATAGATTCATTGGTGCTGCCAACATAATTTTAACAATTTACTCTTGACAATGTTTCCTCTGCCTTATCGAATGACCTCAGAAAGAAAGTAACAGAATACACCGGAATGTGTTTCCTCACACTTAGGTAGGGCAGGGGGTAATTTGATATCCCAATTCTGATAGAGTCTGTCAGGATGCAGACTAAAATAATGACCGTTTATGTTCTTCTGAGACTCCCGTGGGGAGATGGGCCACCGCTTATGGCTATCACTGGACATCACTGTAATTTCCACGCCACTTACTTTACTATTTACTGTAGGTAAGCTGGAGACGACAATTTTGATTTTTTTGTAACAAGATCTATTATCTGT